GCTTGGAGAGACTTCAAAGAAAATCCGGTCGAATCGCATTAACCGCTTTGGGTCCTTTAGCCACTACTCGCTACCATTCTTACGGCCTCTGTCCTCCGTTTCTTCCTTCGCTCGCTTCCTTCCTTCCTTCCTTCCTTCCTTCCTCTTTTCTCTTCTGTATTCGTTTCCGGAAGCGATGTTTGCCGCCGTGTTGTTTAAACGGCTCAGCGTTTACACCACCGATAACGGATTTTTCTTTTCGAAGTCTGTTGAAAAATTCGCGAATCCTTCGATCGGAATGGATTTACCTTTTGCTCCAGTGGCCATCGGTCGGAGCGTCGTCGCAAACGGGCCGAAAACGGCGGACGGTTAGTTCTCAGCCTCGAATACACGGGCAAACTCGAACCCTTCGACTTTTGTTTTCCCAACGGTGGTGGTCGCGACAGTAAAGTTATTCGAATGCTCGCCACCGCTGCCGCCCCGAACTTTCCCTCCCCAGCTTCCTCGACGCGTTTGTCTTCTATTTTCCACTCCGGATTCCGTGTTCCGGATTCCAGATTCCGGATTCCAGGTCGGGAATTCACTCGAGTCGGCGAGTTTTTCCGCGCGTCCTCGAATCAATCGAAACGTCGTGGATCGATTGTCTCGCGAACGAAACAGAGCCAGGAAATCGTTTAACGGAAAGCACGCGAACGAAACGGTTAGGTACGCGAATCCCGTTCACAAGAATTAAAAGTCCGCCTCAAAAATATAGATCCCCGTTTCGGCGAACGCGATTCACTCGAATCGATCGAACTGTATCTATTTAATTTTATAGTATGCGCTAAGGAAATTGCAGCGATCACGATTCAACGCGCGAAACGAATGGAAAAGAAGTATTCTCGGGTGTAGGGTGAGCCGAAGTTGAAATAAAACTCGAGGCTTGTTCTGTATTTATGCGAAGAACGTAGAAGGGCTCTAAGCTGGAAACAGCTCTTGGTTATTTAGTCGACTAAACTCGCGCGCCGCGAACTACTTCGCTTACCTTTCCGTCGTACTTAAATTAGTTCCCGAATCTTTTTTTATTTTTTGCGCGTCTTATGTCTCCGCTTAGGTACCATCTTTCCCCTTTGTTCATCGGACGGTAGCTACCGCGACGCGACGCGATGTTTCGCTGTCGGGAGCTGACGCCTCCTTAAAGACCGACTCGACACTTTGTCTCCTCTTGTTCGGTGGCTGACAAAAGGAAAAAGGCGAAGAACGGTAGGAAAAGAAGCGAGAATAGAAATATGGAAAGATTTCACGGGCCGATTGTTACCAACGATAAAGTTTCTCATCTCCCTTCTTCCGGAATGGTTTCAGAAAATTAGCAAAGAAAAAAAGTAGCGAAGATAGCCACTGAAATCCGGCCAGCTCGGCTCGCTGAACTGGCATTTAAACTTTGAATTTTAGACGCGCACGATGTAAGCGAACTTTTAATCGGCGCCGATCGCGTCGCGATGTTTTATATTTGCGTCGGTCAGTTCAGGGAATTTCACGGTCCAAGTAAGAAACGCGGAAGCTGCGAGTACGTACGCGACGGGGGCAGTTTCTTGTTCCTGACATTTTTATACACCATTTAACTTTCTCGGATCGATGAACGTAACATTTTACCCCGGTTGCACGTAGGTTCCGTAGGTATAACAGATATCGTGGCTCCGCGATATTCCATGTACCTACAATACGTACGTGTATACGTGTATATTAAATTGTTTCGTCTAATACGTATCGAGTACGTAATCATTTTCAGGATTTCAGAAACGATATTTCTAACCGCTTATCAACGTTTACCAGTTCGTAGTGGAAGTCGACTCGCGTGGAACGTAACGGCGATTCTCTGTTCCGCACGAAGCGTCCTCGCGTATACGTATGCACATATCTTGGTGCCATCCGGCCTCGATCGGTCCGAAAACGTTCGCTTACCGAACTGATTCGCCATCGAACGTGTACACACCCTCCTCTCTGCGTCCAGTCCTCCACCCTTGGCTCGGCGGCGACTCGACTGGGTGGTGTTCCGCTGCTACACACTCGTGCCACAATAAATTACAAGGGTCGTTACTCGAATTTATCACCGGGCACACCATTTAAATATGCACAACGGATGCATGCGCGCGTACACCTTTGGCTAACCTTTGACCTACCGGATAGATATAAACGGAACAACCTCGGACGCCCACGCAACCTGGTTAATAATCCAAGATTTTATTTGAAGTTTTCGAACGACCGATTCGACGGAATTCCCGATAAAATCGGACGCCCTCGTCTACTCCAAATCCGACTGTTTGCGCGCTGAAAGATAGTTACGTATACATATATGTATGTACGTATCTGGTAGCTGGGTCGCCGGATAAATACGCGTGGACAGGAGAATTTATCGACGGTTCATCGTATTCCCCCGACAGGTACACTGTTCGGGTTCCCGGAGTAAAGAGAAATAATTACAAACTCCGGTATCGAGAGATTACGGTTTTCGAGTAATTAATAAAGTCGGCTTCGCGAACTTTAATTAAGTCTCATAGACGAATATCGTCCTGAGCTCGTCACTCGATGCTCGTCGTCGAAAAAGGATAACGGAAGAAGAAAACTGTCGCTCCGAACGTTTCCGACGAAGTTAACGACGCAAAGCGTAGTATGAACCGAAACGTAAACCGTCGCTCTATAATATAGTAGAGAATAATGAATAAAGGGAAAAGAGATTTTGCTGATTTTGCTGGATACAGCTGGGGCGGGGCTGTGAATTTCATCGGGATTTCAACTTTCCATCACGCTAATTGGCTTTCTCGGTGAATACACGGGGGATTGATCTCCCGGTCCCTCGCCACCCCCGAGCTCTTCTTCCTTTCATTTATCGCGTACATGCGTGTATACGTATCTACGTTGTACGCGAAACGCGTCAACTTTATACTTGCTCTCGTTCCCCTCGATCGACTTTATGGCTTCTACCGTTTAGTTTTAGCGATTAGAGTAAAGAGTCTGCCCTGTTTCCTTCCTCGCAGGTTGTCCACGCCTAGAAATGTACCATGCGTCGCGTCGCTGTAATTCGGACACGCGCACGGAAATGTTGTACGTCTTGCAGGTACGAGAGTATCGCGTGAACGTTTGGAATCACTGGTGTCCCCCGTTCAATTTAGGAAACGCTCTATTTCTCTGTTTTACGACAAGGAAAGGTCGGATCGACGTATATTTACGTGCACAAGAACGGGGAAAGCCACCTCGGTGTTTGGGGATCTTCCAAGCGATATTACATATGTATATACGTACATACGTATGTACTTACGTATGTGGGTAGACGCGCGAGAGACAATTTAAACGCGGTGGCTCGGTAGCGCATTGCACGTCAGCCGACTTACCTATTTCGATTCGTAACTCGTCGGAGGAGGAGAAATTATCTTTGCGAACGATCCAATAAAACTTTTCGCAAACTTTGTCATTGTCGCTACGAAACTGTTCCCGGCAACGCCGTTAGTATTTTTGTTTGTCTTGTCATCCGTCGCGTCGCGCCCTACCTCCTAGACGTAATCCATTTTCCTTCCCGGACGAACCCCGCCGCGCTCCAAAAGTAAAATCGAGAAGTAACGTCGCGTCGTGTCCCGTCGTCGCGTCGTATTTTACGCGTGAGGAAAGAGATTCGGCACGAATTCGAATCGATTCGCCGATTTCGAATTAAATGAACGTCCGGATAGCACGGTCGTGTTCCGTTAGCGCGGCTAGCCGACGCGACGGTGTCCCCCCGGTGACCCGTCGCCGCCGTTGATTTAATTTCATTTCGAGGGAACAAACTTGTAATGGAATTTTGGTCTCGATAATTCGCACGATAGGTGGTTGGCTCGGTTCACAAACTCGCAGTGCGGAGGATTTCACCGCGAATCCAATCGATACTACGGCGGCGACGACGACGACGACGTTAAAGATGGCCCGTGGTCCGGCGCGCGTGCAACCGTTCGCGAATAAATCTCAAGCCGCTCGTTCCGGGAGTCCCGCTATGAAGTTGAACGAAACTGATAGCTCGTGGGCCCCCATCGCGATAAAAGAAACTAATGGCGCGCTGTTGATCCTCCATCCTCCTGTCCAGCGCGAGTGGCGTGTGCGAGCCGCGAGATAACGCTCGTCGGCGACTTAGCAAAACTGCGGCTCTCGACGTTACACGTACACACGTACAAGATTCCCAGGGCGTATCGGACTGGAATCGACCGATTCTATCCATGAAATTTGGAATTCTCGGTCAAGGGATAAGAATCTCGTTGTACTTTTACGTAGTAGGTAGTACGTATGATATTGGGTATTGCGTGGCAACCGTTGCCGTTATGGCCCAGAGCCAACGGGGCGCGTCGGGTCAGGTTTTCATATAACGTGGGTGGAGGATCGAGAATCGACGATCGCCCTAGGTACGCGCTTATAAATGAAACGATACAACGATATGAATTAAATAGATGGAGAGATAATGGAATCTCTAACGAGGAGGAGGTTCGGTAACGGAGCCTGAGTACGTAGGCCGGCGTAGAGGAGGAGGAGGAGGAGGAGGAGGAAGAAGGATTCGATATCGGTCGAGCGTGAACGAGATGCGCGTTTAATTAATGGCAGCGACTCGAGCTTAAACGCTTTGAAACGAGTTCACTGGGCCAACCAGGCGCTAGGCAGGCGGCAAGATCGTATGCGTCGATCCACGAGGAATCGGTAATTCCCTGCGTCGTCGTACGTAGCGGTACGTAAACCGCCCCCCCACGGTATGCCGTTTGCGGTATCCAAATGCAATATACCGGAGCGCATCTGTCGCGTGCACGTGCCGTATCTCTCGCTTCCGACTACCTAGTCTACCGATTTGGCCGGCTACCTCGGTAAATGCGGTCGGAAGAGATCGAAATCGTTGTTCGAAAGATAATTTCCAGGCTCGTCTCGATTCTTATCCGTGATACGATATGGGAACGTCTGCGCCAACTAAGAAAAATATCTGATTATTATCGTCAAAGACGCGTCGCGATAGCGTTTAACTTTGTTTGTTTCAGTGCAACACCGCCGTCGGGGTGAAGGCGTTTTTCGATATGATGCACAGCGGTCCGCACAAGGTGATGTTATTCGGAGCAGCTTGCACGCACGTCACCGATCCAATCGCCAAGGCCTCGAAGCACTGGCGTCTCACGCAGGTAAACCCAGAGAAGAGAAGATAAACAAGGATTAAGAGCTACAATAGGACGAGAAATAAAAATCGAGGGGACCGTTTTCCTTGCAGCTTAGCTACGCAGACACGCATCCGATGTTCACGAACGAAAGCTTCCCGAATTTCTTCAGAGTGGTGCCTTCCGAGAACGAGTTCAACGCACCCCGCGTAGCGCTGTTGATGCACTTCAATTGGACCAGGGTCGGCACCATTTATCAAAACGAGCCGAGATATGCTCTGGTAAGTACCGGCTCGACGGCGACGACTAAGAAACCTCCGTCTTCTCGACCGAGCTCGTCGCTGATCTAAAAAACTTCTCGCTCGTAACTCGGTGTTCAACTTTGGATCGTTTATAAAGAGAAGCAAAGTTGTGACGGTGGATGCACGTTCTACTTGTGCGTTGCAGGCGCACAATCGATTGGTCGCGGATTTGGACCACTACGATGACATGGAGGTAGTGGAAACGCAGAGCTTCGCGACGGAGGTGTCCTCGGCGCTGGAGAAACTGAAGCAGAAGGACGTTAGGATAATTTTAGGAAACTTCAACGAGATCTGGGCCAGACGGATATTCTGCGAGGCTCACAAGTAGGACGCGCGATACGACCGATCGCGGTCTCGCAGCGGTGACACTCTAAACGGTTCGCGTTCGCAGATTCGGTATGTTCGGGAGAAAGTATCAATGGTTGATCATGGGGACGTACGCGGAGGAATGGTGGCTCGAATCCGACGGCGGATGCGAGCCCTCCGAACTCGCGGAAGCTCTTCACGGCGCCATATTGACGGATCTGTTGCCGATCACCACGGAGAAGCGGAAGACCATAGCTGGAATCGTGAGTACGAGATCCGAAGCGGTCGCGCTCGCACGATTCTCGTCGGGACGCGCGTAACCACGCGAACGTTTCCCGTTCGTCCGTTTCTCTGGTCGCTTTCAGACGACCGAGCAATATCGGGTCGAGTACGATTCGAGGCGAGGCACGGAGTATTCGAGGTTTCACGGGTACACGTACGACGGTATATGGGCGGTCGCGTTGGCCATCCAGCGCGTGGCGAGCAGGATAACGCACTATCATCGGAATCAGACGATGTCGGACTTCAGATACAGGGACGAGTTGTGGGAGAGGCTCTTCCTCGAGGCTCTCAGGAACACCAGCTTCGATGGCGTGACGGTCAGTATCGGAACCGGAAACGGAATCGGAATCGGACAAATTTTATTCGAGTACCGAACACGGGGATAGGGTTAGTAAAGTCGGACGATCCGGGTCGTTTAATGTTAGGACAGCGTATCCGATCTTTTCAGGGCCCCGTGCGTTTCTACGGAAACGGGAGGAAAGCGTGCATTCTGTTGAAACAGTTCCAAGGCGACAGGGAGGTAAAGATCGGAGAGTACAACGGAGTGACCAACGTGTTGAACCTCGATAAGGGCGAGCCTTTGGTCTGGTGGGGCAGATCGCCGCCGAAAGATCGGACTCTTCACATCATCGAGCATTCCACCGTAAATATTACGATCTACGCCGTGCTCACCTCCGCGTCCGGCGTGGGTATCGTAATGGCGGCCATTTTTCTCGTCATCAATATCAAATACAGAAATCAAAGGTAACGAAAACGATGATCGCGAACAGCGAAGGTAGATCCCTCCGTTTTTCTTCTTCGTCGCGCCGTCGCGAGTTCATCGCGGATTCGTTCTACTCGCTCGCGACGCGCGATGCGAATGAAAACGTAGGTAGTACACACATATATATGTTAGCACGGTGCCACGAGGCGAGGCGCGACGAGAACGCGAGGAACGAACGGACGCACGAACGCGCGCGCGATGCACGGGTCCGAAGAAGAGTCGCGCGAGCGAGGGTTGAAAGGGTTGGGCTGCGCGCGGTTCTCTTCTTCGCGGCCGTGTCTCTCGCAAAAATCCTCTCTGTTTCCCTTCTCATGGCCGACGTTCGATCATCTTCGACGTTTCAGATACATAAAAATGTCATCGCCGCATTTAAACAACCTCATTATCGTCGGATGCATGCTGACCTACAGCAGTGTAATTTTCCTTGGATTAGATTCGCAGCTGTCCAGCGTAACAGTATTTCCGTACATTTGCACCGCGAGAGCGTGTCTACTGATGGCCGGCTTCTCCTTGGCCTTTGGCTCCATGTTCTCTAAAACATGGCGAGTCCACTCGATCTTCACCGACGTTAAACTCAACAAGAAGGTGAGCGATTCCTTCGTGCGAGCCGGCAACCACGTGTCACGTCGTCGCCGTCGCCTGCTTCTCACGCGGACCGTTCCTCGTTGTCCTCAGGTTATCAAGGATTATCAGTTGTTCATGGTGGTCGGCGTATTGTTGTTTATCGATTTGGCTATTATGACTACCTGGCAGGTCGCAGATCCGTTCTACAGAGAGACCAAGCAGATGGAACCATACGTAAGCTCCGTTATCTGTCTCTGATCTTTGCTGAATCCGTATCTGTCCTCCGTCTCGAGTTCTCTCTTATTTTCTATCTTTCCTCTTGGTCGCAGCCTCATCCTTCCAGCGAAGACATCATCATAATACCGGAAAACGAATACTGTCAGAGCAATCGAATGACGATTTACTTAGGATGCATTTACGCGTACAAGGGCGTTTTGATGGTAGGTATACGTGAACGGTAGAGAGGATGTCCGACGATGTTTCGCGACGCGATTCCCTCGTTTCTCGTTGAAGATATTCGGCGCTTTCTTGGCATGGGAAACCAGACACGTGAGCATTCCGGCGTTGAACGACAGCAAATACGTGGGGATGAGCGTGTACAACGTGGTGATCATGTGCGTCACGGGAGCGGCGATAAGCTTCGTGTTGGCCGACAAACAGGACGCCATGTTCATCATGCTTGCGATATTTATTATATTCTGCAGCACCGCTACCCTCTGCCTGGTCTTCGTACCAAAGGTAACAACGCCGCGACGTTTCTCTCTTCTTTCCGAGTTTGAGAGAAACAGGTTTTGATAATTCCATTTTATCGCACACTAGCTCATAGAATTACGAAGAAACCCGCAGGGTGCGATAGATAAGCGAATCAGGGCTACCCTTAGGCCGATGTCGAAGACCCGAAGGGACTCGAGCGTGAACGAATTGGAGGAGCGCCTGAAGGAAGCTACTTTGGCGAATCAGAAGTTTCGTAAACAGTTGATGGACAAAGATTCGGAACTCCAGGTGAGAATCGAAAATACGAGAATGCGAGAACGCGCGAATCACGATCGGTTTTGGTCGGACAGATGTTCCTGAGGAGACTCAACGAAGCCGAGTCGAACGTACAAGAACCGATGGACAGGTTGTCGGTTCCGAAACAGGAAGGAACGATCGTGAAAAAGGAGGGTAAGCAGAGTTCTTAGAAATCCCGCTTTTGTTTTTTTATTTCCAGTGCTATACCTGACCACGTGCATCGTTGCGTCTTACCGTGCTTCAGGCTTGTCGGTCACGACGGATACCACGGATATCTCGACGTCCATGTGCAGCCTAATCTCGACGACAACTTCCCAACCGGAAGGCGGCGAGTACACGAGCTCTACGATCGTGACCGAGCAGCAAGCGGGCAAGTAAGTGAACGTTGACAGACTTAGATAACCAGCCACGGTTCTCGATACGTATAACGAACAGAGCGTTTCTCTCAAGAAAAAAGACGTCGTTCTCAAAACTGCCGGCGATCGCGATCGACGCGGAACGAGTCCCGCAAAGGCAAGATGTTACCACCTCAGAGAAGGTCACGGACGACTCGCCGCCGGTGACGGTGCCGCCTTCGGCGTTGAAGCGTCCACCGGACGAATTCGATCGCAGAAAGACTCGCGGAAAGGAAACCGCGAGAAGTCCGGATTCGCGACCAGACGCGACCGGTAAAACGAACGTCGAATTTGTGCCTGAGATCGTCGAGGAAGGCGACGCGATCATCCTGGAGGAAACCGAGATCCCCAGACACGGCAAACCGATCAGATACAAGGAAGATCGCAAACCGAGACTTCCGACGCCTCCGCCGCCAACGAAAAACGTTTCTTTCGGCGAACTTCACGAGCAGAACTACCTCGAACAGGCGATCTTGCCACCCCCGGTACAATTCGTGCCCAGACATCGTCATTCCGGTGAGGAAATAGAAAAACTCTCTGTTTGTTCTCATCGCTCCCGTCCGATGTTACGTACAATGTATGTGTTACGTTCGATTCTAGTTGCGGCGGCAACCCCGTCTCATCACTCGTTGAAGAGGAGATCGTCGGTGAAGAGTAACGGGATGGCCCACTCGCATCACGAGCTATTTCAGACGAGACGGACCAGCGTGCCGGTGAACTCGATCAGTTACATCTCGACCGAGAACGTGTCTAAATCCGCGGCAGCGGAGATCTCAGCCGGCCTAGACAGGGACAGGTCTTACGTGATCGGCGAGTGTGGACACAGGCGGGCGTTGCTCTTCGGCACCGGTTACCGCTGCGAGAAGCACGGTGGAGGACGCGGACATCGCGCGATATTAAACGGATCGGCGGAAACGCCGCCGCCACCGAGGAGGCACAAGAAACATTACGATTCGCAGAATGCGAGTTCACCGAGCGTGCCTGCGGTAGTCAGCGCGAGTTACTCCGATACCGGTGAGACCGACTTTCGCCTTTCCTCCCGTTCCTCGTTTTCTGACTTTTCGATATTTGATTTCAGAGAAGTATGAGGAATCGATGTCGACGATAATCCAGCGGTCCGTGTCGGAACGTTCGAGAGAGAAATGCCATCGACTTCGAAGCGAAGGCGGCGGTCACTCGATGATCGAGTGCCCGCATCGCGCCACGCGGCGAATTCGAGAGTGCAGGCACACCGAGTCTAAGCTGCGGCAACAAGCACGGCTGGATTACGTGCAAAGCACGCCAAACGTCGCCACGATCCATAACAACAAATTCGCGAGCGCGAATCCTCGCGGCGGTGGCAGCGGCGTCGCTGGTGGTGGAAGCGGAGTCGGAGGCGGACCGGGCACGGTCGGATCCGTGACCGGCAGTAGTACGGACGTTGTAGGTGGTTCAGCGGTGAACGTGTCGAAGATGTACAGCGCCGTGTCGGACGGCGAGTTGCTCGACCTCGCGATCCTCCCCATTTTTCAGAAACTCCTGACCGAGAGGCACAAGAGTTCGTCGAGTTCCGGATACGGTGCCAGCATCGCCAGCTGTCCGAATATATCCATCAAGTGCGACATCGTTGAATACCTTTAACGATCTTCCAACGATTAGTTTCAAATTTTACCCGACGACCTTGCTTTCCCGTTTCCTTCACCCTTTCGACCCTCTCTACCGTTTCCCACTTTTCTCCCTTCTATCCTTTCTCTCCTTTCTCTCTCTTTTCACGGCCTCTCGTAAACGCATCATCGACGTTTACGAAACGCGTCCACTGGTGGCTGACAATGAGATCATCGTAGATAAGTATATGTACACGTACATCCACTGACTAGCGGAAGAGTATGCTGGCCTTTGTTCGATCTTTGATAACTTTTTTTTTACGAAACTCCCGGAACACCACTGGCATGAATGTTCCCGGTGAGAGATCACAACATCTTGCGACTCTCCTTCCTCTGCCATTACGATTCTCGTCTCGATAACGAGTATAAATGTACTACTTACAATTAGTCGAGATACTCTCACGTTTATAATGAAACCGATATAAAATTGATCCGCGACAACGTACCTATCGTCCCGTAAAATGCGTGAAATCCCGTTTTTTATAACCGATCACAGATCACGAGAGTGGATCGTCGCGCGATAAACGTTTCGCATCGATCCGATCGATGAGAAAGAAAACTTAGCCAGCGTCGAAACGGTACGTAGAAGAGAACGTTAACGTACGCGTCTAATCTAATTCTAGCACTGTAAGTGTGCGTAATCGTTTTAAAGTAATTTTATAGTGTACGAACAAGTTTCGTACATTCGCTGTTTAGCAATTCGAAAGAAAAAGAAAAAAAAAACATAGACGTACGAGTCAACGAGTTGGACCGTTTTATAGAATTTTCTCTCGCGATCGAGGGGGACAGATCTTTTTTTTTACGTCGTATTACCGTGCCCCGACTTGACGAGAAGCAGGAGGAATTAAAGGAAAAGGCGATTCACGGTGCATTGTCTCAACATCGCGACTCGCGGCTCACATTAAATCGTATTTAATGAACTTCTTACTTCTACGATAAAAATGATTGTTACCAAATCAGAAATAGTTCGAAACGCGATAAGAGGAGTTAAATACGGAAAATAATCATGCGATGAACATCGTGCGAAATAAACGTATCGTTAAGTAATTATCTCTAAATTCCTGAGCGTCATTCTAAATTTCAAAACGTTCTGCGTCATGCGATAAGCGTCGTTCGAGTTGAACGTTTCATTATATTATCTATTAATTCCTGAGTGTCAAGTTTCGAAAGTGACTCGTAAAAATTTCAATGCGAAGTCCACGGATAAGTTCGTGATGAAAGCCTATCAGGAGGAATATATCTATACAAGTATTATTTTTCTGTATTTGGTTTAATTACTCTTTCTTTCGCGTTACGTTCCTTCATTGCCTTCTTTTATAAACGAAGATCTCGATAAGTCGACAAGCCTACGATAAACTAAAAGCAAAGCGTTCGGATCCTTGGAAGAGCGAATGTATCTACTTTTTGAGAGAGCCTAATGCTCGTTACAGAACCTTCAATTGTGTGGTTACGCGAGTCATGTACATAACTGTCGAAAAATAAATGTCATGTTTACAGGTAAGAAAAAAAAAAATAGGCGTTTGTTCTGTAATACGATTTAAACCCGCTTCTCGTCTCTTTGTAACGTAACTACGAAGCAATACCGATGTTCTGCTCGTCTATCAAGTTTATTCGTGTGGCGACTCGTTAAAGTTGGCAGGAAAATGGATAGGTGTTGATAACTAACAGGTCAATTATATAAATTTTATCAATAAAGTTGGATTCTACTGGTTTTACCATTTCGCACTCTCCTTGAACGCGAAACTGTTTGCTATTTACGTCACCGTTCGAATCGCACGGACTGATCGCAGATCGATCGAAATCTGTATATATTCCGATAATCGTATTACTGGTGCTACTACGGACTTTCATACATACGCTTTGCGACGACGGTTATTTCTCCTAGAAACAAGAGAGACGGACTGTGCAACTTGTATCGAAATTACATCTAACAATAATAAATAACGCAGGTACAAAGAAGCTTTGCGGTCTTTTACGCTGAACGTACAAGTAGAAGAGTTTTCTGTTCGTAGCTACACGTCTTATGTAAACTAGTGGCTCCATACAAGAATTAAAGTACATAAAAGTAGTTCTCTGTAGAAATTAAGAACACATCACCGAGGATAGCGAAAAAAATTTTATATGCAAATTGTAGGTATTAACGTCTTCTACAAGAAAGATTCTATGAATTTTTCTTCTAACTCGAGTATTTAGCAAGTTACATGTGATTATTTGGCATTTTATTGATGTTGACAAAATCCGACCATCCCAGCGTCGAAACGGCGAACTTTTGACAAAAAATTTCATTTTTTCTCAATAACTCCTAAACTGTTAGATCTACGGGAAAATTGCATCAGACCTTTCTTGTAGAGGGTGGCGAGATCTACAATTTCCATATAAAAATTTTTCGCTAGCATTAATAGTTTACGAGTTATTAACGAAAAACGAAAAAACAGTTTTTCGCAAATTACTCGTGAACTATTGAGGCTAGCGAGAAAATTTTACATGGAAATTGTAGATCTCGTCGTCCTCTACAAGAAAGGTTATATGCAATTTTCTCGTAAGTCTAACAGTTTAGGAGTTATTGGCAAAAAACGAAAATTTCGCAAAATCTGAAGGGGTACCCCTTGGAAAAATCCCGGAAAAATTGAAAAAAAATTTTTTGTCAAAATATCGAAGAATGCTTTAAGTAAAAGTTGTAGGTACTGCTATTACTTGTAAAAAAGGTCATATACACTTTTTTTCTGTCTCGAATACTTCAGGACAATCAATTATTACATTCACCGTCAATTATTCCTTAATGAATGGAATTAGACGGACTTTGCATAAGACCTTTCTTGTAGCTGACATTTACAGTTACAACTTTCGTCGGAAGCATTTTTCGCTAGGATGAGCAAGAATTGTTTGCAACAAACATTTTTCTTGATTGCTCTTCGACAAAACATTTCAAAGACAAAGTAGGGTAGTGGTTTGCTATTTCTTACTTCGGTGGCAATTTGTTCTTGAGGGCATACAAAATTGGAGAATTTTTCGTGCGACACGAAGTCCTATGAGACTGTCACTCCTTAGCATTCTTCTTGGTGTGCCAACTTCTTGGTACTCCGCGCGCAAGCGACGCGCATACAAAGATCTCACCGAACAGTAGGCAATTGGCCAACTATCGTATAGCAGTACTGTAGCTGCCGCTGTGTAGAAGAATTCCGGTGAACTGGTGATAAACAGATGACAACGTCGTGCTAAGTATAGTAACGTCCCAACTTCCAACCGAGCAACATAACACTTGATTTAATTGGCAAAACAATAGTGACTGTCAAGTTCAAGATAAATTACTCGTAAGAAACACGTTAAAGAAGCTAGTAGAATGTTGCGACTACTAAAAAAAGTTAAATTAACGCGATATTTATCCACTGCGGCCAGACCAGAACCCGAAAGGAATCCATCGGTCCTTTATACAGGAGTAAGTATTTAATAATACGTATCAATTTTAATTATAGTCACGGTGCCTAACGAATAAGGTTAGTAGTGATGTCCTGTACTTGATCATTATTTATTGTTTGATAGTCTTTTAATCCTCAGCTCCGTAAAGATGATCACAGAAGTAAATCATTTATTATATCGAAAAAGTAGAAGTTCACAATTCTTTTACTATATAAAATCGCAGAATTTACTTATCTTAAAATAGCCGAAAAAATCGAGTGGTAAGATATCGCGGATTACAAAGCTATCAACGCAACCTCTCCGCTATTTTTTATCTCGTTTAAAGATAATGTATATTAAAAATATACATTATCATATGTAATTCATCTGTTTTATTAGCAATTTTTACATAAGATTCACAGTTATGTAAACGATACGAAATTAAAATCTTTGTTCGATACTCTTTTGTCATAGTCGAAAGAAATTCGAAAACAGAAAAAGACAAGTAGATGTGAGTAGGAGAACAAATAATGAACAACGGGACACGCAAATGTTTACGTTCGAATTCAAAGTCGTAGCTTACGCGACTAGTATTATTATTCTTATTATAGATATTTATCGACAACGAATGGCATCGATCGAAAACAGGGAAAACGTTTCCTACGATAAATCCTACGACCGGCGAAACGATCGCGGAAATACAAGAAGGCGATGCCGCGGATATAGATGTAGCCGTAAACGCTGCCAATAAAGCCTTCAAATTAGGCTCGCCATGGAGAACCATGGATGCTTCCAAGCGCGGTGCGCTCTTACACAGATTAGCCGATTTGATGGAACGTGATCGCGCTTATATCGCGGTAAGAACATTTTTCGTTTTAACGCGTAAGTATGCGTTCGAAACAGAATTTGAGAAGTTGAGCTATTCCAGTCTCTCGAGACACTGGATAATGGAAAACCTTATTCGGCGGCGTACGAGTTCGACATACCCTCGAGTATAGCAACGTTGAGATATTACGCCGGGTGGGCTGATAAGAATCACGGAAAGGTGATTCCCATGGATGGAAATTTTCTAGCGTACACTCGTCATGAACCGGTCGGCGTTTGCGGCCAAATTATCCCATGGAATTTTCCTGTACTGATGATGGCTTGGAAATTGGCTCCAGCTCTGGCTACGGGTATCTTATCCATTTTGTTGACGATACGTATTCCTGTATATCGTACATACTCGCGCTATTTGTATTTTACGCGTTTCCAGGGAACGTTATTGTATTGAAGCCTGCGGAGCAGACGCCTTTGACAGCTTTATACATGGCGCAATTGACCAAAGATGCTGGTTTTCCCAATGGCGTGGTCAACGTCGTTCCCGGCTTTGGTTCAGCCGGAGCTGCGCTCGTTAACCACAACTTGGTCGATAAAATAGCTTTTACCGGTTCGACCGAAGTTGGAAAACTGGTGCAACAGGGTGCTGCTTTGAGTAACTTGAAGAGAACCACGTTGGAACTCGGTGGAAAATCTCCCAACATTATTTTAGGAGACGCCGATCTCGACCATGCCGTGGAAACAGCACATTTCGGGTTGTTTTTCAACATGGTACGTTTCTTGGATGATTTTCATTAGACTATTCGCTAATACTGACCGTTCCCTCATCAGGGTCAGTGCTGCTGCGCCGGGTCTAGGACTTTCGTACAGGATAATATTTACGACGAGTTCGTAGAACGAAGCGCCGCACGTGCTAAGTGCAGAGTCGTCGGTGATCCGTTCGACTCGAACGTAGAACAAGGTCCTCAGGTATACGAACAATCGCTTGGCCGTCGTTACTGCCGACCGCACTGATCCCCGTTTTCCAATTCAAACAGGTTGATGAAGAACAACAGAATAAAATCATTTCCATGATCGAAACGGGCAAGCAGCAGGGAGCGAAGTTAGTTTCCGGTGGTACAAAAGTCGGCGATAGGGGATACTTCGTCGCGCCAACGGTATTCGCCGATGTCACGGATCACATGACCATAGCGAAAGAAGAGGTATGATACACGTGTAGATGCGGTAAAGAAATTCATAACCACGTATTATGGTGTTGTTCACAGATCTTTGGACCGGTTCAACAAATCCTCAAGTTCACCAGTTTGAACGAAGTTATCACACGGGCAAACGGCACCGATTTCGGATTAGCGGCGGCGGTGTTCTCGAAAGACATCGACAAAGTAAACTACATCGTGCAGGGTCTCAGAGCTGGTACTGTATGGTACGTATCGTACACGTAGTTGGGCGATTTTTGAGAAACCAATCTGGTACCGTTCTTACGATATTTGTTGCAGGGTTAACACGTACAACATGCTGACGCCTCAGGTACCGTTCGGTGGTTATAAGATGTCGGGACATGGTAGAGAACTTGGAGAGTATGGACTCCAAGCGTACACCGAAGTCAAAAGCGTTATTGTCAAAGTAAACCAAAAGAACAGTTAGATAAACTATCTTTACTATTACTTTTTTATACTATTAAGAAGTCGCGAGAGAAAGAGCAGAAACATTGTAATACCAATATATTTTTATATAATTTACATGATACCATCTCACGAAACGTGATCTTACGATTAGAATTACAGGAACTAGCTACATTCGTCATAAATGATATTGTACAAATTACAAAAATATGATTAAAGAATAATTTACCCGTCGTCAATGTTGGATATTGTCTACGCTGTATAGAACAATTTCTTTGATCTTAATCGCTGCAGTCTTGAACAAAGGAGTGACTAAAATACGCGCACACACGCATACGTAAACCGGACATTGGCAATTCGTAACAATGAAGGTACGTGTTTTTTCTCAAGTGTATTCGCACACGTGACCGCAGCCCGTGGGACACTGTCGGTTACAACTGAACCATTCGTTCATGTGAACGACGTGACCACCGTGCGTACATCCTTGGCACCACACGTAAAGTCCTCTAACGACCTAATAAAGAAAGAGCAATGAAAGGTGCGGGCTAATAAAATGTGCGATGACGGCACGAGTTAAACCGAACGTTTAAACTTCGCCGAACTTACTTGATGGCAAACTGAACAAAGCGCGTGATGAGATGAATGGCATCTGTCGCAGAACCATGCCGCCCTTTGCAACGGTTTCGAACAAGTCAAACAGCATGCATGTATCGTGGTCGATTGTTGATTCAGTTGCGATATGGATGGGATCCAAACCGATTGTATTATCTGTCAACCCGTGTCGAGTTAATTCGGATTAGACATTAATATTTAACATATTAATCACTTTCGATAACGAACCTGTGTGGCCACGTTCCACAGTTTAAACCTCGCCAACATGTCCAGATACTCCATTATCCAATGTTCTTGAATGGCGATTTCGATGTTCAAGTTTTTTCGTTTCTCCCCTAACGCGATAAGAATAGACGCCGAGGTCTGTATATCTCTGAGAGCGGCATGATGCCTCAAAGCTTCTTCGATCAAGTGCGTAGGATCCCAAAACTGTGGCTTCGGGATATTCGTAACTATCAATTGACTCGGTTGATCTTCGATCATCAACGACGCGCAGTCCTCGTTGATATCTGGCGGCTGATTCGGAAATTGTTCAGGTGGCGGAGATCTGTCTTTTATCTCGTGTCGCAGAGGAAACGCTTCTTTGGACAGCGTCCAGTCGTTATCGTTATTTATCAGGTTTCGCATGTAACTGGAAGTGTACTCCACCATTATCGGTTCGAATTCGCTCTCTCCGAACAAAAAGTCTCCCTTCGATGGTCCCTTGTGGTCGACGAATGCTCTCTTGTAACTAAACCAATTCCATGTATAGATATACCGAGTACATTACAGTGACAGCGGTATGAGTTACATTGAACGGTACCTAGGTAGCATCGATCCTATGGAATGTTGATTTTCCGGTGTCTCGTCCGTCTCTGTCTCGTCGTCACCTCCGCTGGTCGCCCCCGTTGCTTCTCCTTGCAAAGATTTCACATCGTTTTCGTGTACTTAAACAGAGTAACGTAAAAAGTTTACGGGCATATTCCTTTATCAGATCGATACACGTACACATTTTTACCTGCGCTCGGTTGATCCATAGTAGGCCCTATTGTGATCTGCGCTAAGTTCAACGTGTTCACTATGTCCTCTTTCGAAGCGGTTGGTGGAGTTTTCAATATAGATCCCATAGGGTTCGCGTACAATGTTTTTATTATATTCCATACTGTACTGATCTGATTAAAGTCAATGTTTCTACGTTAATATCATTTTCGTGTACGCAAGTAGTAATATGAAACGATTGCGTACATCATTTCTACCAGCGTTTCTGGCAATGGTAGCATTATGATCGCAAACGTCGTTCAGTCTTCCAGAGAGCAAATAACCTTCCGCACAAACTCGGAACCACTTTGGCTCTCGTGGCATATTAATCGCGAATCTGTGCATAACGCTGGATGCCATGCAAAATGTATCGTTCGTCGCTGGTGTTTTCCTACAAAAACATACGCGATTCGTTTCTCGCTCCGATTCCATCGTTTTTTCGATATCGGCGGCGGCGGAGGCGGCGGCTCACAAGCGCGGATGGATTCTATTTCATTTACCTCATTATATTAGTCAACTGTTTCATCGTAGTCGTAACGTTGACGTTCACTTTGCAAGCATACGCGATATCTCCTTTCGGATTCAGGGCGATACCCTGCGGATTCGCTTTGCTTGCAGGTCTGGTAGCGTCTTTGAACACGTGATGATATAATGTACAATCCTGTAAAAGAAATGATTCATCTATGCTTTTTCGCAAAGTAGACAATAATCTAATCTATGTATTGTAATTTTGTTATTACTCTGCTGGTTGATAAAAACGATTGCGGATTGCCCCTCCATGCGACACCCGTTGGGACATCTCTGTGCTCATTAAAACTCGCGAAAGGTATGTAAGGTCTTCGAATGTCCCATACGTTTATGCTGCAGTCCACCACAAGTGCACAACTGGATATATGGTACTTCCGTTGAGGCCTCCACTTTATACGGCCTACAGACGCTATGGTGTGTATAACGTAATCGCAACTAGGTTTACCTACCAAGTCCCAAACCTGATTGGAACATTTTCATTTGAAATATCTATTCGCACCGAGCGTAGACCGTACACAGTTTATTTCTATTATTTATGTTGTCCTGATATTGGGCAAAGTCATCGAACCCCCTTCCTTTCCCCTCTTAAATCCTGATTTACCTTAATGGTTTTATCCCTAGAAGCAGTTGCCAGCCAAGTGGTCTCGGGATGCCAATCGCAGGCAAATATCGGACCACTGTGAGCAGTGAAATGTTGGAAGTATCTATCCGGTTTACGTAAATCCCATTGCTGCACATGGCCATTTTCAGAAACTGCGGCAAAAGTATGTGGCGAATGAGGACAGAATTGTACATCACGTACCGATTCCGTATTACTGAAAGTAACGACACTGTTCGCATTCTCGTACATATTATTTCAATATCTACCGATTCGATCGTTTTTACCTGTAAAACGTTTGAGTAGCTTCTTTTATCCTCAAGTCAAAACATTTCATAGTACCATCTTGAGAACCCGATATCAACCACATAGGCTCCGTCATATGAAAACTTACTTTATTCACGGTTCTTTTATGATCCATAAAAACATGTTCCTGTTTCGATCTAGATGATTTATTTAAATTCCATACTACCACTGCACCATTGGTAGCAGCAGTTGCCAGTATGTGATCTAAGAAATATAAAAATTAGATACAGCTGGTTTTCGGTCTCTCTTTATCTTAAATGTATTCAAGAACAAGTGGTCACAATAATCGTTCTTTAAAAAAGATTACCATCTATCAGATTCCATGCTACGTCATTGCACGAAAAGTTTAAGTTCAAGTTTTTCCCAACGCGTAGATTACAAGTTTCTTCGAATCTATCCTCCAACAACGTAAATATCTTAAAGACTGTAACATCAAATCAATGATTTGAATTTCCCATGGATCAATCCTCGTAAAGTAAGCTTGAACAATTACCATTACGTCCAGCTATAACGACTTGACTGTTATCTTTGTTGAGCGCCAAAGCGTTTGCTGGACCTTCTTGCGTGATGCAGACAGTTTTCGAAATCATGATAATACTCCTTTACAGATTATTTTCAAGCGTGTGTAACGTTTAACGACTTGACACGTAGCAACTTATAATTATGTATTATAAAGTGATTTTCCTGTATGAAACCATTCGTAAAACAGTTTCATGCATACTCACATAAAACAAGCATACGCTCGGAAGCATATTTGTACTAATAATATTGATATAACTTCTTTTTAATACATTCCTATTCCAGTATGACTTTCACGTCACAGCATAATTCGACAGATCTAAAATAATCAATTACACAACTGTCGAAATTCTATAATAATGTAAATTCATTATTCCTGTTATACTGTGCTGCATGCAAGTACCTGTTATTGCAGTTTTTAATGATTTTAATAACCACACGTCTGTTTATTTCGCACAAAATATTTGATGTCCCGATACGCATACTATACTAACTCCTTGGAGAGTCAGAGTTCCTACTATACTCAGGTATTACGAATCCGAAGTTAGTTCCCAAAGACGTGCTAGCTCGATAGATCGTAAGAACCGCTTGGCCAGCAGCAAGTGCAAAGTGACTAAACTCAGAGCGCAGAGCTGTTGTGAACAATGGCGATGTTTCGACGAAAGTGACGTTCTGACGGACAAATGTGTTTTTACACTTTAACGTTACAATCTTTTTGTAGATATTAATTACGCTCGTTAGCCGCTAGATCGGCGGGTGTCCGTGTTTAGAATGGCTTTGAACGCGAACGCGTTGTCCAGTGACATAAGCCGAAGAAATCCACAAGATGAGTACGAACTCATTCAGAGGATAGGCAGTGGGACTTACGGGGATGTTTACAAGGTTCGCGAGATTTCGGTTTTCCTCCCTCGGTTGCTTCCAAAGTCGTAGTGCTCGCGTAATACTCGATTTTTCTTATTTTGTTCGCAGGCCAAAAGGCTTTCCATGAACGACCTCGCCGCGATTAAGGTTATCAAACTGGAACCAGGTATGCTCCTTCGCTTTTCTTTCGAACCATTCGCGTGCTTCAATTTATGTACGATTAACTTTGTGTACCTGAATACGCGAGTAAAATACTTTTTAATTCGATACACCTTTCATTTCCCGTCGCTCGACGAATACCTATTCTATGCAAATACGATTTCGTTTGAAATTTTATTCCGTCGTCTTTTATTGTGAACCGTAATCAAATTATACGAACAATGAACATTCGTATAATACGTATATTTCGTTTAAATGTTATAGGGGATGATTTTGCAATAATTCAACAAGAAATTTTAATGATGAAAGATTGTAGACACCCTAACATTATTGCCTATTATGGAAGTTACTTGAGAAGGGATAAATTGTGGATTTGTATGGAATATTGCGGAGGTGGTTCCCTACAGGACATATATCACAGTATGTTTATTAACTTTCAGTATTCAAAGAAAGAATATTTTTCATAGAAATGCTACTTAAGATACACTGTAGAAACTGTGACATGACAACGCGGTTTTCTGTGATGATGTTGCAGTAACTGGACCATTAACAGAAATACAAATAGCATACATGTGCAGAGAGACTCTGTTAGGATTGGCTTACTTGCATAGCATGGGCAAGATGCATCGTGATATCAAAGGTGCCAATATTTTACTGACAGAAGCGGGCGACGTGAAATTAGCTGACTTTGGCGTATCGGCGCAAATTACCGCGACGATTAATAAAAGAAAGAGTTTTATCGGCACTCCGTATTGGATGGCACCAGAGGTATCACTAGTCGTCGATTTATTTCGACGGGGATTACTCGGAAAGTTAGATTGGACGTTCTATCGTTTACAGGTCGCGGCCGTCGAAAGGAAGGGTGGTTACAATCAACTATGTGATATTTGGGCGTGCGGAATCACCGCGATAGAGTTAGCGGAATTGCAGCCACCTATGTTCGATCTGCATCCGATGCGAGCGCTTTTTCTCATGTCAAAATCCGGTTTCAAGCCGCCCACGTTAAAGGATCGCGACAAATGGAGTCCAACGTTTCACAATTTCGTGAAAGTCGCCCTAACGAAAAATCCTAAAAAAAGACCGACGGCCGAGAAGTTGTTGCAGGTCAGTTCGTGTAATGGATCCTGCGGCAAGCAGGATACTTACATACGCATATTATTTTCAACGAGAAATTCTGTTTCAGCATGCATTTTTTCAAGGGGAAATGAGCAAACGTTTAGCCCTGGAATTGTTGCAAAAGGTATCGAATCCTAGTCATATGTTCACCGATCTGGAAGCGGACGAGGACGGGGCGGTGCCCAACGTTCCGCAGAGGATAGCGTCGCGACACACCGCGAGACCGAGACCAAAAAGTCCTATACCGCAATTGGATAGCGACGGTACATATCCATATATTAATTGACCGTTGATAAACGATGTTTTTATTCTATAACTTACTTTCGCGTTACAGACCAAATTAATCTCGATGGAACGTTACAAAGAGACGCGATTTCTCCGTCTGTGGACGGTAATCCGTCATGGGATATCATGGACATTATGAACAACGTGAAGGTAATTCATTTTTGTAAGCGTCTTTCTTATAATTTCGATGACAATTTATGAAACGGTTTTTTATGTTGGGATTGTTAGGCTGTTCGTAACTGTGACGTCCATCCGGATTGCGGTATAGGATCTGCGTTCGAGGACGTGCAGGAAAAGTAAGTACATACGTCGAATTTTTTAAACCGATACATCGTAAGATATTGGGTCGGGATGCTTACAGATCCTTCCACTAATATGGTAATTGTTGTTTTGCTTCGAATCTCTTCTTTTCTTGATACGATAGACAACGCCTAACGTTTGAAAAGTTTAGTCGGACTCTCCGAGCTATAGGAAGCGAAACAGCAATTCGTTCTAATAAGTATCGACCTGCATATGGCACGTCCGCTTCCGCTTTGCATAAATTATCTCGGTCATTAACGAGAGGAACGGCGAGAACGGAATTTCCTAACAACTTAAGTTATTTCTAAGAAACGTGGATTCAATTGTCTTTTTTTTTATTCCGTAAAGGAATTTATAGCAGCTACTTTATTTAGACGAAGTCGTCGATGCCTTGCGTAATGTTTCTATACCATCGTGTAATATTTTTCTTAGAAATGATACAGTTTGTTTTTGTATCAGTACCATTGGCGCGAACGTTACGACTGATAGTAGAGAGTCGCGTCGAAGCAAAACGGGCACAGAGATATTTCATATGAGTTTAAGGTAACGAAACGTCGCTGATAGTTGGTGTGAGAACGTACGATGGTTGTCCAAAAAACATTTAACATCCCAAACGGGTATATTAATAAAAGTACAAACGAGATGGAATTACCCTTTTTTAATTAAGAGTTGTATTCTGAGGTTTTCAGTAGATACGATTGCATGCCATTTTAATTACATCGATAGAGAATATGACTAAACATTTGAAGCATGAAGAGATCTAGCGATCCAGCTTTTATCGTAGTCATTACGATTAATTTTTTTTATGTTTCTAATCATTGATTTAGTCGAGCGATAGAACATTTTGCATGACAATTGTTATAAGTTAATATGAATATTGCATGATCGAAACGAAGGCTTAAAAAAAGACTGTTGACGCGTTCGCTACTTCCGTCGCGTAAGTATTATCGCCACGTTCAGTTATTTTCATAAAAAATTATATTTGTTACTTAGAAGATACAAAAATTTATGCCCCGGACGTGGAATATATTTTCAGCACAGTAATATTGAATCGTAATCTTGAATCAATACGATACTTTAATAATAGTTCATCCCTACGTCGCGTTTGATCCTTTTCACTGCTCATTTTTAATTCTCGTAGCTTTAATTTCTCTGATCAGTTTGTAATTTTAATAATTTCTCCCAACAGGAGTCTATTGCAGTACATTGATGAGGAGTTGTTGCTAAGGTATTGGCAGGTAACCCTTTTCCCTTGCACCTTGCACCTTGCACAAATATTTCCTAACGCCTCGCATTTCGCATTATTTTTTAGTTTCTACCATAGCTTCTTACTAAACTGATTTTTTTCCACTATATCGTTTGCCATGAGATATTTTGCATTCCATCCGAAGCGTTCAATTTGATTAAAGCAATTTTTTATCCTTGCCACCGATCAGTCCCCATTTACTCCGTAATGCCCATTACAGATATTAACACTTAAGAACGTGTTTGTAAGTAAGTAGAATTATTTCCAACTTCGTACGATTTCGATAGACGTTTTAATATTCGTTCGAATGCATGCTACCCTCTTTGAGTAGAAGTCGTTTGTCAGTCTCTGGACGATGTTGGTGGTGGAAGTTTGTGTATTCGTATAGTGTATTTAAAGATTACGGTTTTTAATGCATCACGTCCAAACTCTATTTTTAAGTCATCAGCTGTGTTGAGAATACGTGAAATTGTGTCTCTAAGCTTGCCCATTCAATAAATCCTCGAAGAAACAAAAGGATGGAAGTTATTGAAACGTCACCCCTTGATTGAAATGTTAAAACGTTATCCCTTAGCAATATGTAAAGGTAGCTGGGTACGATCCAACATATTTTTTACGCCCCCCCCCCCCCCCCCGAAAAGTAAATGGTACTATGTTGTATAAGTATGGAAGATTGAATCCGTGACAAAATTGGAAGGGTGAATGGGAAAATAATACGTAATCGTTTTATAGTATATGATTGTAGTTTCATGTGTGCAGGGGGAATGCAATGTCGATGGTTGGTGGGCATTGCGATCAGCTATATTCCCTGCAGTAAGTAAACGAAAAGAAATATAACAGTAGGTTGTTTCGTCTTTTGGTTGTAGATACAGTTCCATTATTTTCGTTACTTTCGGTTCGAAGTAACTGTCTTCCTCTCTCGTTCCTCGTCTTACGATCCTCTGTGGATATTAAAGTGTAACTTGTGCAGGGTAATCAATTGAAAAAACAGTAAATCCGATTTTCTGAAGAAATCGTACAGTTATCCCTGAACCTTGACTCGTCGTTGATAATTAATTTGTACGATCCTTGCTTAAATATTTCTTTATTTCCGAGCACCACTCGCAGACACCCTATAGACACTCTCGAAAGCTTACAATAATGATAAAAGTCTTTTATAATTTTATACACGCTCACTTAATCTATTACGGCTCTTCCACGCCCCTAACATTTTGTTTTATTTCTTCTTTTTTTTAATTGTGTAAACGATATTACAAATCTTTCAGTTCTTACCTAATTAGTATTATAATTAATACGTACTTTTCGATTATTATTTTATTATTTTTGTAATTGACTAACACTAGTAGCACTTTTTGCAAAAGAACAATTATCCGGATCGATGTAATATTTCCTAACGCTTGCCTGTCTATTTATTATTTTGCAGAGCTACCCTTCCTCTCGGGGAATCGTCAAACGAATGTGAAGTGCATTGCCCGTACTATAATATGTCAGGTAATTTTCTTTCGATCTACTTTATCGAACTATCGTTCTGCACAAAATCTTGTACATATTAACTATTCGTTGGTAGCCTGCAGACACTTCTAAAAGAATCGTATTTTGATAAGTAAAAGTCCCGGGACGATATTTAACGAATCGAAGAAAGCGAGTTAACTCTAGTTAGAGATGGAACGTAGTCTAGAAATAGTATTAATATTAAGCGATAAAATTGTGGAGGGTATCGAGAAGGCGGTAGTATAAAAAGTAGGTTCGGTGCTTAGGATCGCAAGCAAGTCCCAGGCGACACAGCTCTGTGGACGAGTTGTACGGTCTGGTGAGCAGTTCTCAGTCCTTGGCCACTGTCAATGGACAACGTCAACGATCTCTCTCTGACAGTGGCCCCAGAGACGAGTCCCCTCGATCCAATGGTAGGAGCACGCTAATTAAAATCGTTCTTTATGCTCTTTCTTTTGAACTCCTCTCTCGGAAATAAGATGAAAAATCCCTTCGTCCTTCCTAATTTTTCAATTTTAAACTAACTATTACCGTTGCACGAAAGCATGCTCGTAAAATATCTTTTTTTTTCTCTCGGATTGCGAACGTAAAGTCTGGCTTGATAACAAACAGTTCATTTAATCGAGCGAATTTCTCTTAGGGCAAAGCGAGGGGCCAGGGGACGGTGATAGGGAAAGTATGAGCCCGGACTTGTTATCCGACACTCCTCCCGTCCCACCGCGAAGGAGGGACAGAAAACGTCACACACCGCCCAGACCCATCAGTAATGGACTGCCACCGACACCCAAAGTTCACATGGGTGCATGTTTCTCAAAAGTAAGTTCGACCTCGGTCTTGCGGAAAAATCGATACGACTTCTCAAATTAAATAAATAATTGCCATTAGGTATTCAATGGATGCCCGTTAAGAATACACTGTACCGCGAGTTGGATCCATCCGGACACGAGGGATCAGCATTTGTTAATCGCCGCGGAAGAGGGTATATACAACTTGAACTTGAACGAACTTCACGAGACCGCGATAGACCAATTATATCCGAGACGTACCATCTGGATGTACGTCATCAAAGATGTTCTTATGTCTTTATCTGGTAAGGCGACGGAGATTCCTTTTTATTCCTAGACGCTTTCATACTTCGATTATAATTACAGCGCGTGTAACTCTTATCGGGATTTCAGGGAAAACTCCTCAACTGTATAGACACGATTTATTGGCGATGCAGAGCAAACAGACTCATAGGTTCTCGCTGCACATGAACAAAATACCTGAGAGATTGGTACCTAGAAAGTTCGCCCTGACTACTAAAGTACCGGACACGAAGGGTTGCACCAAGTGCTGCGTCGGACGGAACCCGTATAACGGGTAATTATATAATTTTTATAGTGGGTAAATACTCGAATCGAAAATTTAGGATGTATAATGGAACATTTGACGCAGGTACAAATATTTGTGCGGAGCAATGCCGACGGGAATTTTTCTGATGCAATGGTACGATCCGCTTAACAAGTTCATGCTTCTAAAGCATTTCGAGTGCACGCTACCATCGCCGTTGAACGTATTCGAAATTATTATCACTCCCGAGATGGAGTATCCGATGGTGTGCGTGTCTGTGAAGCAACCATATCAACAGAACAAATTGAAATTGGATTTGATCAACATGAATTCCGGGGCGAATTGGTTTCACAGCGACGAACTCGAAGATATGGATGGTTCAGGTACCTACATACCCGTTTGCTTACGCGCATCGAATATATTCGAAACACTGTTTCCTTATTTCTTATTTCATTTTGTAGCCACTGTGATACCCAGACGGGAGAACCTTCACGTTATTAACGTTACTCAGTTGGAGAAGAATGCGATATTAGTCTGTTACGACAGTGAGTATAAAGTGGATCCTCGCGTAACATTTATTACTACTTCTTGTATCTATCGTACTTGTCTTTTTCTAGACGTAGTCAAAGTAGTAACTTTGCAAGGGAAGCCTAGATCCAGCAGGAAGCACATGTCGGAGTTACATTTTAACTTTCAAATCGAATCGATCAGTAAGTGTACTTGCCAAAACGAGACACAGTTTTTATCATACGTTTTAAAACGACGACGAGTATAACGATTTTTGGTTGCTTTCAGTCTGTTTGCCAGATAGCGTATTAGCATTCCACAAGCATGGTATGCAAGGTCGGAGTTTCAAGAACGGAGAAGTTACGCAAGAGATCAGCGATCCTAGTAGAACGTACAGATTACTCGGATCAGACAAGTACGTATTCGAGAATCTTTCGACAACCGAGTCGATTGAAATGAAAATTAATCATACAATATGTTTGCTTGTTGATAGAGTCGTGATGTTGGAGAGTCATTTGGTCGCATCAGGTACGCTGACTGAGTCCGAGGGCGCGGACCTGTACATACTCGCTGGGCACGAGGCCAGTTACTAAGTTTACCTCCCAACAGCGACTTCTCTTCGCGCGCGACATATGCGCGTAGTTTCCGTGCATAACTTGGATATGCGACCGTATCGAGGGACAGAGTGGTCGACGTTGGTAAGAATATTGTTAATTATCCTGTTACGATCTATCCGGATACGAACGAAATCAGCGAGCACGTAGGAGCGTGCGTATCGCTACGTAGTCGAAACTGCATAGGCTGGTTGTTAACCGATCGAAACTCGAGCGATCCAACGCGGCATCGCGTCGCGTCGGGACGAATCGTTGAATAGAAACACGATATGATTCAACTATATTACGTCGTTATGCCTGGCAAAGTAAAGCTTATATGGAGCCGAATCGGATCCTCTCCCGAGAAACTTCAATCTCGACGTTCGTTCTCGCGTGCAAACGTCTAGCGTACTGTAGACTTGATTTGAAACGTTTCTTTCGAAACTTCATCTTAGATTCACGGGTATTTAAACGCATGTATAAACGACATTCACTTGTAGATACACGAATACTTATATTTTTAGAATGATTTTTAGATAATATATAAAAACGAATCCCTACGATCTTCAACGTAAATTATCGATTATATCGTCGTATAAGCAGCTTCTCGTCTGAACTTTGTACAAGTCGTAGAAGAAGGTATTGGCCAAAGGTAGTTTAAGTAGATTAGCGTATATCCGAAACGTGAAACAGAGAGCAACAAAGACAACGATTTAAATACAAATTAGTTACCGAATCATATAAAGGTATAATATTTATCGTGTAACAGTCGCGAATATATTTTTCTCGCATGAAAGACAAAAATCGTAGTGCGCTTAGTGTTGGAACAACAATCATTCGTTCGTATAAGTTTTACTTTGGTAGGTGTCAGGCGTTTACATCAAAAGTTGTTTTAAATAAGACATTGCGTTCATCAGTGTCTCTAATTTTGGACGATTGTACTATAAATATACAGTATAAATTGCAAAAGTAGTTTATGATGGCAATCATAAATTATTTATTTTAAGAAGTATGTACGAGGTGAAGAAGGTTTTAACGATCGATTCATTCGCAACAATCATTTTATCTCACTACCAAGTGTTTTATCTCGCGCGATCAATAATAATCGAACATTGATAATAATTGGAATTAGATTTGAAATTCCTCCTCGTAGGTAATTGCATTCATGATGATGACCGCGTATCGAAAATATTCCAACGATTTCTTCGTATTGTACATTCTATGTGAATTAAAAGTTTAGAAACACGATGGTATAGAACGTGATTAGCGATTTGCTTCTTCGATATATGACGACTATAAGTGCATTTTTGTGTGACGGATTCCGAGGCCGGGAAAAACGTGCGCGAAAGACTTTCTTAAACGCGTGAACCGCGTGTAAGTACAGGAGGAAGAGTGCTGGATGAAATTAGAGGATATGGATTATCGCGAAAATTACATTCAGCGATCTGATTTCGCTTCCAAAACTAACTTACTCCATTTTCGTTTATGATACGTATCTCGATATCTCGTAAAATTCTGGTTCCGCGAGTGACATCACTATAATACACAGTAGAAATGTATGTACTTGAAAGACCATCGCTTGAAATCCTTGCAGGAAATCAGTATTGTTATTTATTTACAGATTCCACTCGTCTATTCACATCAAGGGTTTTGTTGATACATGATACTCGTTTTAAGAATAATTTTTATCCGAATATTGGAACGACCAACTTTTTACTAATACAAGCATTTACATCTTTTGCACGTGGCAAATTACGATGAAATAAAAGACAAGTTTTACTGTAGATCGTTAGATTATTTTTTAATATAATTTTCGCGATTTATAGAATTTTAAACGTTACGCGTTGCATTTAAGACTCGCGATTCGTGGATCGGAAAGATATAGATCTCGCAGAATAATGTTTACGGGAAAATCTAACGAAAAAAGACGGTCAGGTATTAACAGTATTTAAGCAAACATTTCAAATATTAAATATTCGTTAGGATAGTCGACATAAATTTAAAATATTATTAGGTATCACGCGTTTAAATTCAATGTGATTTGGCCAATTATTCTAACGAGATATACTTATAGACGTATATTTGAGGCCTTTAATAATTAATTAAAAATTCAATTTATTAGCGTCCTTTAGATTAATCAACGAGTATCTAGCACTTTTCCATCCGTGATCCATGTGTATTATATATATCGCGTCAGCTTGCAAACCAAAGCGATTAATTTGCGATGGCATGAATGGAGAAAAAGTGTAAATTGAACTAGGAAGGATCGACAGAGTAAAAATTATCTTGGAAATGTTGAAATATTTTGGTATTTTATATGAAGGTTCGCTGTGTAAATAGAAAGTAGTATTATTAAAGAAAGTATTACTCTATGGAAGAAAGAGAGAGAGAGAAAGAGATAAAACGAGTTCAGTATAACTTAATTATTATATTAAACAATACCCGATTGCTTGTTGTTTCTCGGATTGTGCCGAAGCATAAGTGGTAGCTAGTTTATACAATTTTCATTTACTAAACTTGTCCCACGATGCACGATTATCTCTTATTGTTATAAATGAATAAGTCGTAGAACTAATGAAATTCGTACCACCGACGTCGAGGCACAATTTAACACTGTGAATTATCATCACGAGATGCAACAGAATTGCGCTTAAACGTTTTACGCTGACGCTGGTCCGTTGAACGAAAATTATTGAAATCAAGTGTGTTCATAGTATGCTCCAACATAGTTCCACGCATCATTTTTTAAATATCACTCTTGTCTTGCGCTTAACGTTTCACTCGGAACGAGTACGTAAAAGCTCTGTCCATGTGTAATTTACTCTTTACGTGCGTGCACAAAACCAGCGCACAACGTGACAATTGACTAATTTAAGTCTATATTCGTATTCCCGACAGTCAAGGACCGTTTCGTGCAGCTTGGAATATTGTGGAGGTCGCAGCGAACTCCCTCCACACAGTAAAGCATTGAGATGCGTAAAACGATCAAAAACTGAATTGTGCCAGATCCTAGATTCTCGGGAACACGATTATAATCGCGAACGTAGCGAACAGCATTCTATATAGTAACGAATTGACTCTTATGGCAGCGATATCGATAAGTTTTCTAAATATACGTGTACACGGTCGTAGCTTTAAAGACAAGAGAGATGTTTCTTCAGAGAATGACACGGTTCAATGAGTCAGTCGAGTCAGCAGGTTATCTCAATCAATGCTTAGAGCAATCAAACGCGGAACGATCGAATCAAATCGTACAACAATTGTGCGGCGGGTTTGGGGGAGAGTGTATCGTAGGACGTAGGATGTTGTCCATGGTAGATCTTGTAAATTGTAAACGAACGATGCGCAAGGCAATGTCTTCCCTGTATTTGCTTTCGAGCAAGTAACTATTATGAGATGTTGAGTGCTCACAATGTCGGCATTTCAAGAGAAATTATTTTGTATCGACTAATCTTAATGAATCCATAGAATCATCCAAGTTGAAGTAACGAGCTTAGCTCTCGAGGATTATTTCGTTGAAAACTTGATCGACCATGTGTATCTGTTTCTTTTACGTTCAGATTTCAGACTTTACCGATACAAGTGTACTTGAACCTTGTGCCGATTGATTTCACCCGTTGATCATTTGTTTGCGAACAATACTTTCGTCTACGTGACTCTGCAAATTTTTGTATCGTACAGACAATAATTTAATTGATGGCGATCCGCATACACGTGTATCGGCCGAAGAGAATGTTTAGCTATGCCAACGAGTTCAGCAGTTGAGGATGTTGTATTAGAAGAGAGGAGAGGAGAAAATGCGCGTACTAATTATTATAAATGATAGTAATAATGATCCGTGGCAGACCAAACCATTAGGAAAACGTAACCGAGAAACATCTTACATGCAGATTTTACATATCCGTGTTCCACTTATCGACCACGAAATTTTAAATAGAAACTTCGAGTTTTTACGTTGTGGATAGTGCGTAGACGTTTCATTTTTATCGAATCTTCGTGTATCTACGTGTACACGCGAATCGGGTGTCGATCCCTTGGAAAAGTATTCTCCACGCGTTGGACCAATATTTTTTTAACGGGACTAGATTCGCTACGAAGTTAGATTTCTATAGCGTTAGGACAAATAGTACACCGATGAAATGTACCTGTCCGTATTGACCAGACTCAGTGGCTTCGCCTCTAATTACGAGAATGAAGAACAAACCATTTATCCGAGAGAATCGTAGGATCGCATGAAAACAAATTAGGAGAATGTTCTCATTACGTCTTTAATACTCGTTTTATATTCGTTTCTGTTGTAACGATAAAATTGGGATCGAATCCTGAGAGCTAGTGTGAAACGAGATTCAATTTTTCTCTAAACTACGATGCACAAATATGTGAAAAAAGAATCGCTCTCAGGATTATCGCGGGTGCTATTAAGTTACATGGAGAAAGAAAATTTCGTTCAAGTTCTTCTATAGCTCGACTGTGAACGTGCGAACAAAATTAAATAAATACTTTGAGAAGCAAGTACATATACGCGCCGTAGAAGTGACGAGACTTATGTAGAAAAAGCGAGATAGAGAAAAGAAAGAACAGAGACACGAAACAGAGAAATATAGTATAATGAGTATATAAATATATTATATATAAATATATATTTAATAAAGGAGAGAGAGGGAAAAGAAAAGCGCGAGTTCTAAAAATTTATTAGCGTGGATAACGACGCGTCGTCGATATTTGTCGTTTAGTTATGCGCTTAGCGTTTCCAGGGGGAGAGAACAAAAAGAGAAACGGGATAAAACTATTGATAACTTGTCAATATTGTCAATATAGCGCAATTATTAACCAAAGGCTTTAGCTGCGAATAGAAACGACGATAACTTTCATGGGAGGTATTCTCATGCAAACGAGTCGTCGTCGCGTTAAGCGAATTCTATGTATAGGTTTAAGGAGCTTCTCGATAAGATGCTTGCATTGGAAAAATTGTACGACGAAAACTAGACGAGATCTCGTCTTGAATTTTGTTCAGACGATAACAGCGTCTTCCAATGCCTTTCATTTCGAGGAATCCCTTCAGAATCGCGAGACTTAAGATCGGTGTTGGTGTTTTCATTTTTCCTTAAGAATATCGTATAATTAAGTAGGTAAATAAATTGTGCGAGGGATTCGAACGAAACTTATGTTGGAAAACGCTGATCGTCCTATACTCACGATGCTCGAAGAGTCACTGTTGTCCTTGGGTGAAGCTTCCGTACTCGTTAGCAGAAATGGGTACTTTTCACTCTTTTAACGATAAACAGATTTATCTCGTATTAGGCTCTCAAACGATCTCGTTTTACGCCCGATTCTGACCCGATTTGATCAAATTTGAAGCTCGGCTTGGACAGCATTGATTTAAGTAATTTTTCGCGTAACGAGCATACAGAATTATTTACTATGTACGACATCGATATCGTAGAAACTCTATAAACGAAACGAACCTTAATTTATTATTCTTTATATTTATATTCGTAACTAATGAAGATTTAAAGAGAAGAGGAAATAGAAGATTCTTCTGAACAGGAGAGACGGACTCTGATTCGGAATAATCACATAAAGGGATGAAGTGTATCATAGTTACTACAGTTGTACATAATGTGTATAATGAACAATCGTTACTTTTCTATTTTCAGTTCATTGAGCTTCTCATCTCTTAGTCATTACTTTATCTTTTTCTTTTGTCTTTTTTTTATATATATATATATATATATATATATACGTACAGTATTGCGAAGCTAATTTATGAACGTTATGTATCGTTTACTATTGTATCTGTAAACACGACTAGCCGAAACCTATTGTAAATAGAACATCTCTCGTAATAAAATCTACCTGAAATAATTATTCCAAACTTTGGATCTACCTTCGAATCTCTTCCCACTCGTAGAAAACTAAAATTAAAACAAAAAAGAACGACGAGCTACTCGGGTCGATTTATTGGAAAAGAAACTTGACTCTCCGCACGGACAGCGTAATCGTAAATAAGTCGTATAATAGCTCTCATCACGAATCTTTATTGTCTAGAATTAAATATATTGTTTGCTCTTTCTTTAATTGCGTCCAAACGACTCTCTTCTACCCGTTAGGTTTGGCGAATAAATAAAAAATATAAAGTGACTTTCTATCCTCTTGCTTAACGTTGAGAAATAAAATAACGATGACCTTTAAATCCTAACGAGTCGAAGCTTAAGATACAATCGAGATTGTGTCCGGTTAGTAAAATTACTTCTCGCTAAAACTTATAATTAGTAACAATACAGGGTGCAGTTATAAAATGATTTATTCGCAACAATTTTGAGATCTTATCTAAAGATTTAAAATTACCAAACGTTAACATCTTTAAAAGACTTCGATGTTACCCTGTATCATTATCACCAAGTTTCTATGACACGGATATTATCGTTTAAAATCGTTCGGCAGTATCTGTTTTAAATGCTGTACAATGCACGCGCGCTTCGACACGACAGCCAGGAAACGTGTAGATACGTAGCCAAGTGCCTACGTAGCGATAACAGTGTTCTTTGTTCAAAACATCGTTAAACATAGATATTAATGTTGAAATAGAAAATACGACGAAGGACTCGTTATAACGATTCGCTATGTACATTTTATGCCTTTCGTTAAAATATCTGAATTTTACTTCTTACGCGTTGTACTAATAAAATATATGTAATCTCAAAGATTGTACGTGAATCGTACGAGAAACTAAGTTTCTCATAGATTCGGACAATTAACTCCTTGACCCTCTCGAGTTATGCATCACTTTGATAGCGAGTACATAGCATAGGAATATTTATTTGTAAGTTTCATTTCATTTGTGATAGAATATTTATATCAAATTTCCTTGCACGCTCGCTATCGTGCACCTCTTAGCAAAGTACATAAGAAAGAACTTTCCGAGATCGAAACCGAGGAATTCATCAGTCGCTATAAAGTATTAAGAATATCCATGTACCTGGAATTCCTATGTTCAATGGCCGGGTATAAGGGAGATTTGTACCTTCTCATTGGCATATAAATTACGTTTCGATGTGACCCTGAAGTTGACCTACTATCTTCTTGACCCAGCCCGCTTGGCTCTGACCCGCGGACACATCGTCTTTCTCTTCGCCACCGTTCTCTGCGCGATTATTCCGCGAACTGTCCGTACTACGCGTACCGTTCTCCGACGCGTACTTAATCGGACTCTTGTGATCCGATTCTCGTTGCCCCCTCGCGAAAACCTTCACTTTTAAGTAATCAGGCTTTTGAGCCACGTTGGGTTTGCACTTGGTCATTGCGGCATTGGGATTCGCGGTGGCGATCGATTCCGTCCTTTTCTTTGCCGGTATCGGAGGCGCTACTTTGCTTTTTAACGAGGAAGAATCCTCGGGAGGCGAGACCTGTCCGGACACCACAAACACTTCCTCGATGTCGCTGAATATTGCACTATCCCGAAACGCGTCGTCCATATCCGCATCGACATAGTTCTCGATCGTCTCGAACGACTTTTCGTAGAAACTATCTGTCTCGCTCTCCCGGTTCTCCGTACTCTCTTCGTCCTCTCTCTTATCCTCCTTCGCTCGAAGGCTCCGTTGGCCGAGCCGTTTACCATCGAAGAACAGCACGCTCGGATCCGCGTAATCCGATTGAGCGATCCGAGCACCCAAACCGGAACTTCCTTGTTTGTAATAGAGAGAAGTGATCCTTGAGTCCGAGCCTCTGGTCGCGCATCCGACAAGTTCTTCGACGTCCGAGGAGGATTCTCTGGAGTGCTTCGTCTTCCCCTTCTTTTTCGATTTGCTCGTACTTAGAGAACGGAAGTATCTGGTCCTCTCCAATTCCTCGCTGCACTCCAACGTTTCCGTGCTCATCGTATTCCTCAAGCCCTGAAGACGGTGCCCGGCCTTGGAAAGTACGTTCTTGAATATAGTCGCACTTCCACCGGTGGTTGCTCTGTAGATCTTATGATCGGGATGTATGTTTGTGTTCGTCGACGATATACGTAGCTCCGAATAAGCATCGGTCAGCGTATCATCCAAAGAACAGAAAAAAGTCGACGTGGAAGCAGATACGGAGGTCGGGAATTTGGCGATTCTTCCTTCAGGCTGACACGACGATGCGTACCTCTCCATATCTTCCAAGTTGATCTCCGCGGGCTTGTCTGAGGCTATCGTGAACGGTCTTTCGCTCATTGGTTTCCCGTCCCTTTGCAAGAACCGCGATTTTGTTACGTTCTGAGTGGAATTCGGGTGGATTTGGAAGCTACGTGGCAGCGATCCGCACTTTTGCGGCGACGTGGGTAATCCTTCACACAATTTCGTTAACCAAACCGCCGGCCGAGTCGGACTGTCGTCGTTCTCGACCAAATCTTTCTTCTCTTGCGAACCGACGTCCCAGACGTGTTGCAGATTGTCATAATTACCGAATCCTTTCGCGGATTCCGCAGCCGTCCGCACATCCTCTTTCGCGCACTCGTCGTTTCCCCCAATTCCTTTTTCCTTCGTATTCCGAGTTTCGGTCTCTTTCGGAACCGATGACGATTGCGCTGTCTCCTCGTTCCTAGGTGAGGAGTTGTCTCTTATCGTAAGCGCGGTCTTGATGATTTTACTCTCGGTCACGATGTTTTCCCTCGTGAACGACCCGAGCAACGCTTTCTTCTTCTGAACGTTGATCGCTTTATTTTTGCACTCTACTGGTTTATTGTTCTCGGTTTTATTTAAATTATCGTATAATAATTGCAAGGTGGGTTGATGCTCGCGTGGAGAGGACAAGGAATTCAAGGTATTGTTCGTCTTGACGAATCGTTCTCGTCTGACGCGAGATATCCTGTTATTCACCGAATTGTCAGGGATATAATTCGTGTTCTCAGAGTCGCTATCGTCGGACGTGTCCGCGGAGATACGTTTATTGAAACGTTGCTGCTGCCTCACATTAATTATGCTGTTGTTACGCTGCTTCTCGAGCAGCTTCTGGAATTCCTGGTTCTGCATGAGAATGTGACCGACTATTTCCTCCACGGTCTGCGCCTGCGTTTGCTGCTGCTCGTTGTTCTCTTTGGTTTCCGCAGGCGGAGAATTCGTCGCAGACTCTTCGTTCTCACACGCCTCGATGGCGCACTCGATTTCGACGTTGGCCGATCCCGCGTCACACGTATCCACCTCCTCCTTTTGTTCCTCGTCCGACTGGTTCAGGGACACATAAGACTGGAAACCGGGCTCCGATTTTCTTCTCCAGCCGGTAAAGCGATCCTGAACAAACAGCGACGTGACATGTTTTCTTACATAAGTAAGCAAAAAATTAAATGAAAAAATTGCTAGTTCAATTTTAATTTATAATCGAGCGCAAAACAACTACCTTCACTTTCGATCCGCGTCCGTCCGAGCCTTTGAATCCTTGCGTATCGTTCACGCCGGAGTCCTCGTCCCGATTTTTCCGCGGCGACGCCGGAGAATCCTGTGGCAATGCAATAATTAAATTAAATACTCTACGTCGGAATCGCTCGTAGGAAGAACGCACGAAGCTCTCGGTACCTCGATCGCGGTGTCAGACTTTCTGCCGCTCTTCTTGAACTTCTGCCTGAGCCTGGTCTCCGATCTCCGTCTCTCCTTCTCCTGTTTCCGCTTCTCCAAGTATTCCGGAGGCGCGCAGTGCTGGTTCTTCATCGTTCCTCTATCAGCCAGAGCGTCGTCTATAAACGTTCATCGATGTTATTATGGAAATCATTACAACTCGTCGTGCAACGTACCTTCCGGTTGCGTCTGGCCAAGCTGCAGGACCAACTGCCTTGCGTGCGAGGGTATCACCGCGTGGTAGTTCTCCAACATCACTCTCTTTATTTGAAACGTCCATTCCCTCTTCTGTTCCAAGTTTCGTGCCTGATAGAAATTACAGACAAGCGTGCCGTTTAACTCGTGTGTAATGTATAATTAACTGTACTACTAGTTTAATCGGCGGACAATTACCTGTAAAGTGTACTGTAGCCTAGGATTATCGAAAGGAATCACATTGAAGCTTAACGGTTGCCCTGGTATGCTCTCGATGAGCATCAAGTTTGAACACTGCGCACAGAGTTACGAAAATCGATCGTAATCATCAGATATTTACATAAGCGCGGAAGACAAGTATAACGAAAGACGTACCACGATGTGAGCTTTATAGACTAGAACTCCATCCTCTTTCTTCTTGGTGAGCAGGAGCATGCGATCGAAGAGGAAAGCATGCCTAGGCGCCTTGGCACCTCGTATTCGAAATCTACCTTCGGCTATGAGCTCGCCGCTGGTAGTCAAATCCGGACCAGTCCATCCGTAGAGAAGAGACTGGATCTCTTGAACGCGCACCGCGTGCTCGTGTCTGCGTTTCATTGCGTTTATGTGTTTCGCGATCCCCGTCATAGCGTCCAACGCCTCCTCGATCGCCTTCCTCCCCTCAGTCTCGTTCTCTCCTGGTTCACAGCCCGATCCGTACTCCTTCCACAAGTTCTAAGCATCACCGACAACTGTTTTATTATCTAATTACGCGACGCGCGTCCCGATGAGGCGAAGAATACGTCGACGATAAATACGTTGATTTACCTCTAAAAGCAAGTGGTACTTGAGGATCCTCTGGACAGGTTTTAGGAGAAACGAACCGAGAGGTAACGCGTGACCAAGGGCTGCTTGTCTCTCCCTGAACGCCTGTGCGGTCTCTTCCTTACTCATTAAATCGGTCAGCACGGAAACCGTGTCTGGATAGTTGGTACAGTACTCCGTGTACACTTTGAACCCCGAATTATGTTTGATAAACGTGTTCGCGATAGACACGGGATCCAGTGCGCACTTCTCGATCTCTTTGAGGAACTCTCGGTTGAAGGCGTAGATATCCTCAATGTTGCTGAACAAATCGCTCAGTCGCATCCGATCCGACGCCGGATCGTTTCTCCAGAATATGAGGTAACCCTGGATCACTTGTCGCAGATGTTCCACGTATATCGCCTCCGTATCCACTATCTCGAGGAGGACCCTCTCCATCGGATTCCTATGGGGGTCGCAGTAACGCGGCCTGTGAAATGGAGGGTTTGCTTCCCCGCTGATCCTTCCATCGCTTCCTGTTCGGCAATTCGATTCGGACGCTGTTACCACTCCGCTATCACCGGAACCTGCTCAAACGTTTTATCATCTTACATTTTATTTACTTACAACTGATTCGAAACGACCTGATTTCAATTTCTACAATAGCAATAAAAAGCGAAATTTCACTCGGTCCTTAATTTGAAGGAGATAAAAGTGAGAGAAGACCGCGAGAAATGGCAATCGAATCTCGAGCTGCACGAGTTCTCTCGCAATTCAGGCGAAGCAACGGTTTCCCTTAACGATGACCAACGGAATGCGAGAGAAGTTTATTGCCACCGCCGCTATCATTACTGTCATTGCCGTTGATTACGCCTCACGCGGGGAGAAAGTCAGAGTCCTTGAGATCTCTTTCGATACCTCTAACGAGCCATAAGATCTTTTAACTATGTTCCCGAGAGCGCTACATTTTTATTGGCACGATCTTTTCGAACGACCTATCCGAATCTGATATACAATGTGACAAAAAAAATATTGCCAAGATCAGGAATCGTCTCCAACCGGTCTTCTACATCTAGCAAACCCTCACCTTGTGAGCTGGCGCAAGTGTCTGCCAGCGACTCGACCGATGCCAAATAAGGATTGATGGTGCACGCGTTCCCTTGGTTGCTACATCCGCTGGAGGATGTGCTGGACGCGACCGAGGATCCAGAAAGCGGCCTACCGCCGTTCCTGCACCGCCTGTTGTACCTCAAAGGCGTCAGACCGTTGCTCTCCCGTCTGTAACTCTTTTCCATCGCGGTGCAATCTCTCCTATTCTCTTCGTTCACCACGTTCTCCAGCCTCTCTAGCGACTCGTTCTCCTTCTCGGCCGCGATATCATCTACGTTCGCGGTGTTCTCAGGGTTCGGTTCGTCGCTCGCCATCGCGTCCTCCGGTTGGGTCTTCGACAAGTCGGAATGAAACTGGCCGAATATCGAGCCTCGATGCGACACCAGGCTCAAACGTTTCTGCAGCACCGCTGGTATATTCACTACGTGATCGCCATTGTACCCATTGGGACGACGAGCTAACTCGTCGAACATACCCAGCAGCTGGGGCACCAGGTCCGTGCTCGTACCTGCGACAAATAGAAAAAATGATTCTGTCAGGCGATCATCGGAGGATATGTATTCTCCAGTGTTAAACCATTAAACGTTATCGTAAATCTTTCTAAAGAGTTAAAAAACAGTCTGCCACTCGAAAATTACGATAATATCGAAGAAGAAAGTTGTAGGGGAATCGAACACGCTCGCTCAGCTAGCATGTTATTGCAACCAGGCTACGATTTCGCACGTGCAACGTGGAATTTCGTTTATTGCGAATATAGGACACGTGCACGTACGTACACTCCCCTTCGTGAGTGCAACGATCATACTGTTGAAACATCGACTCGCACAATAGTATCGAAGAATTGAAATTTGATATGCCGTGTCCAGATTGTTTTAAATATATCTCGTAAGTTTTCCAACGTGTCCTAAAACTTCTGACCGAGGGTGAGTGCACGTCTGGAAAACTGCCGGTGCTTTTGCTTCCCGCGAAGCATAACAATATCGTATAAACAAACGAGCGTACACTGATGGTTTCCAATTCCCCGCGAGGCAGACGCGAATCAACTTGGTCCAATGAACTTGTACATACATACGTGCACGCGTGTGCATACGTGCACACGGACATAGTGCGGCGCGCGGTTTTTGCATTTCGCGCGCGCGAGCACGCCTGCCCGCTCTGTAACTCTATAGGGTGATCCAGGGAGAAAGCGTTCCCGGGCGAAAGCGGATTTTTAACTCGCTCGTATATCCGATCTAAGATTTTTATTTCACGCTCTTTAAAAAATCTATTATGCACGAGCGCTCGTTTCATAAAACTGGGATCGTTTGATATTCGCATAATTCTTTTTGCGGCCGGTGATTCTCGTTTAAAAATTATCCTTTGCGGTTCGCTCGAACTTTCACATTCGTGCGAAAATGTTGCAACGATATTAAACGAGATAAAATATAAGGCTCGTTAGCGCTTTAGCGCAAGAGCCCGGAGGAAGTTATTCTTTCGAGATTCGCAGCTGCACAACAGGGCGTGAACGTTTGCTCGTAAAGAACGCGCAAAGAAAGCAAACGGTATTTTTACGTAGAGGCTTTTATTGATGGGTCAATTTGCACTCGCCTGTCATTCACGTTGCAAAGAAGGCGGGTCGATCGTTTCCAGAGTCGAACACTTTTTAGGACACGCAACGCGTTGCGATTCTACGATCGGAGACTGCGTCGTCGAGACTGAAGCGAGCCGAAGTTTCTCTTTGCCGTAATCAAAAGCTTGACACAATCGGATCGACGTTATCGAGAACGGTATCGAGGTGCGCGGTGCAACAAAACCAAGAAGGTACAGAGAGAGAATCTATAATAGCGAGCGGAGAGTAGGATCGGGCCGAGAGCACTAGAGCAGTCAATCTCTCTCCCGCTCCGCTCCGCTCCTCTCCGCTTTGCTCCGCTTTGCTTCGCCCGTTGCCAGCCATATGCGTTCGTTTCTGTCCCGATCGCGATGTTGCACTTGGTTGGAACTCGGCTAAGAATAGAACGGGACCAACTTTCGTCCCAGCCTCGCATGCACCAGCTTCCTCGCGGCTGTCACGCTCGGAGACCGATGACACCGCCTCGTCGACGAAATCTCCGAAACCCTTTCCCGATCCGCGTTCTCTTCACTGACGAACAAACGAGTTCTTTACGATCATTTCTCAATCGCTGCGATCGAACGCGATCGCAGTACTGCACCGTCGGTCCAATCCGTTCCCGACGTAATTTTTCATCGAGGCAACGAATCGTTGCGATAAGCGTGTAGCAACTATCAACTTCCGGTAGGAAGAGATAGGTGGAAGTTTGCCGCGACGACCCCATTTCTTCAATTCTGACGATGGAGTAATCTTCTAGATAGACACAGCGTGCTCCGAAACGAAGTCTGTGAAAGTAGACGATTCGTTCGAGGAATCGAAATTTATTTTCACAGGGGAGCGAGAACATCTGACTTGGACCGATTCGTGTGATTCTCGCGACGAACAAGTTCGTGGGAAAAGTTGGAAATCAGAAGCCACGCTCGACCAAGTACATTGAACTTCGCTGTCGCCGCGGTGAAGAACGGCCACGGTTGACATCTATATACTTTTTATCGTGAACGGGCACCACTGTGCTCGACTCTACAGGGTGGTCCGCGAGTCTCCACGATCGCTAGAGACAGTCGTTCCCAGCGATCCATCGAATTCTATGTTCTTTCATCGAACCGAAATTGATTTCCGATCATCGGTACCGACCAACGGCTTCGCAATCGTGAGATCACGCGAGGTTCAGAATCACTGCGATCCACTTTTCTCGTAACTCCATCTCGGACGCTTTCCTCTCGGTTATTCACCTCTGGGTATGTCTGGGATGACTTCGTTTCTCGTCTACGAATCGATTTTCTTCCTTGGTGAACGAAGGACGAGATCAAGGATGTTCCACGAAGCGTGAACGTGAGAAATCGCGTGCGGCATTAGGAGCAGAAGCCCCTTAATCCGATTTGACAAGACGGCACTTCTTCCAATCTCATCGTTGAAAATGTTTATGAACGAACCGTGGACTTCGTTCAGTTATAAGAAAATTAAGTATACCTGCACGAGAGTACATAGTGCGTAAAGACCAGTTTTCGATAACTGTTCGCATTTCTCTCTTTCTCTCTAATGCTTTCCATATTTTCGCCATTACTGGGATTTACGTGTTCGGTTAATCCACTACCTCCAAGCTGCGCAAAACTGATATGGACTCTCGTGACAGCAGGAATAAATATGATCAAAAGCTGACCGTTGTACGTTGAAACGATTTCTGTCTAACTTCGCGTACTAGGATTTGCATACTTACTATATATTTACGAAGAACTGCAAAAAATGATTTTCCAAAGAAGTCATCGATTCTAATTTTAAAGAATATTCGATTATGCCAGACGCGAGAAACGTGCTTCGTCTCCATTAAACATTGCTGGCGCCAAAGTACCTATTAGATATGGTGGGTATATCTAAAAAAAGAACTTCCTATATCTAAATTCCACATTAACGACCAGAGCTCGCTACTGATTAACACAAAAACGAATCGACCGATCTATCAAAAGCAGCCTTAATAACGCCGCACCGCATCGGCCACTTTCCCTCTCCGCGTCGAGCGACCATAAAACAAACTATACATCACATCGTGTATTAATATTGTACTTCCTAGTTTCTAGTTTCCATTTACATACTTCTCGGAATACGTGTTCAAAAATATGGAATGCCGTAAAAATGCGGAGTGTCGGTACGATATTACGATACATCGTAAAATCGCAGTTACGCCTGTCCACCGATGCCCCGTTCCTTTTCAAGCAAAACGGCGTTCCTAGCAAACGCTAATTATCCGGATAATGCCTAATGCCTCGTCGTCCCTTTGCCAAACACCGAGCACAATTGCCCCGCAATCACGAATTACGTCACGATGATTGCTGTCCCGCCTTAAATAATAGCGCCGCGAGCCGGAACGATTCATTTTCCCGCTAAAGTAACCGCATTCCGCTGGTAATCGGGCTTGGGCTTCACGGCTGGGATACGAAATGCTCGACGGCGACGAAAGGTCGTCGCGAGAGGCTACAAAGGCCAATTAAGTAACTGGCCGATTATCACCGCCGATTAATGGCGTTTTACACGGTCGTTACGAAACGATTTACCCACGAGGCTACGAAAATGAGCTTTCACGCGCGGTCTCGTTCGGACCTCTCCTAAAAACGGGTAAAAAGTGTTTAAATTATTGAGGACCGTGTCGCAACGTCTGAGATTCATTCGTAACCGTGTCACATAATCGCGAGACGCGACCTGTCGCAACGTACAATATGCAAATGCGCGCAGTAAAAGAGGTGTTTCTCGCCGTCCCTCCTTTTTATTTTCACCGGGCATAGCCGGACCGGGGCACGGGGATTCGTTTAGTCTGACATCCGGCGTGATTCTCTCGCTGGCTGGCCGTCGATTTTGTTCGTTGCGACGATGAGTCAGGGGAACGTGGCGGGCGTACAGAATCGAGTCGACCACTCGAGACGAGCCTCTCGTTCCTATTGCTTTTCGTCAATGAACACCGACGTCGCGCCCCCCTCGCTATTTTTATCGCCTCGCGCCCCGGCGCGGCGCCACGCTCCTCGCCCAGCAATGTTTTCCTTTGATTATTCGAGTCGGGAATCGAGGATGATCGACCCTGAATGAGAAACGAGCAAAATCCCTCGCGCCAAACGTATGCGTTGTACAGTTTGGGGACGTAACGACCAAACTCGTAGAGAGATTCGGGAATTTGGCTCGGATTCTAATGCAAACGGACCAACGTGCCATCTACTAATTTGCGTGTCTCGTGCGAGTCCACGATTTTCACTCGGCGCAGCTTCTTTTCTTCCGAAGCGTGTTCGGTCCTTTTTGATGACTCATTCGAATTCCTCGAGATTCTTCCTGCAGCGTTCATCTCCCGCGTTCCGTTCACGTATTTTATATTAATCTCCATTGAATGGAAACCTTGCCGAGTTGATCTTCGCGCGCGCGTTAGATTTATTCCCGCTCTTAACGGCTAATCGAGATTCGAATTGCCTAACGTTTTATTCCGAATGAAGTGTCTCTCGGAAATTCTTAGACGGTAGAAACAAAAAAATATTTGCATTCCTGGTAAGAAATTCCCTGGGAATATCTAAAGAATTCGCTTGGAAAATCTCCAAGCTTCCCAAACTATAAACCTGTTATCGTCTCTGAGCAAAGAACTCGGGATTTTGCATCGAAGTCGAAGAAATCCCGTTGGCCACGGTCCAAATTTCGAGTCCGCTAATGGCTCGACGTCGTGATTGTCCGGAAAAGACTGAAAACCGTGGCCGAAGCAGCAGGAACTTATTCGCGTCACGTAGAGGAACGCGCGAAGCCGAAGATCACGTTCGCGGCCAACGTGGGACTCTTTGCTCCGGAATTCCAGGCCTGGTAGCCGCTGCCTTTTGTAACCTCTTATCTCCGTTCCCGGCGATGCACCCGGAAGCCTCGCATTCCTCGGGATAATGCAACGTGACCGCGTCAAAAGTGTCCACTCCCGGTTCTGGGAGAAAGCCTCGAGTGCCCCAAAGAAACGCAAGACCCTTCTAGGGATCGCACAAAGAAAATTTCAACGCCGTAGCTATTATTTGTCTGCCCGAAGAAATTGCACGAGACAGCTTCAAGGTTTCGTATGCTCGTCACTTGGGAAAGTAACTTAGCTTCTTCCATGATCGTTCACTGGTTTAAGCAAGTGCATAGAAACCTGCAGTCCGATTATCTTCTGATTACAAAATGGAACGAGTGCAGACTCGACAATGGGAGAACCGTTTGAACGACGATAACCCGATTTCATCGGCGTCGAACAATCAAACAGCGGATCGACCTAACTGATAAGCGTTATCTCCGACGAAGATAATCTAAAGCTGTTTACTTTCTACGGAACGAGCACCTACCGTCATTCTAATATTCTTCGAAAATAATAGCCAGGACTTCGTTTTCGAGCACGGCCCCGCTATCCGTGAAATTATCTGGCGACGATTAATAATTCTGTTTACCGGAAATGATACGTCGCCGACGCGAACTTCCCACGAGAGTGACTGTGCGATCTAATGAATCATTTGATCGCGACAAAAAGTCGAACGAGTACAAAGCCTTTTGAAATAAACGATTGTTACTTACTACTATTTGCGAAATTTCAATGATCAATGCAAATAATAGTATTAAATCCTACTATTAAGAAGTTCAAAGTTTGCGCAAGTAGATCGCCTCGTAAAGTAGTCTGCGTCACAGTACAAACGATAAGAGTTGAAATTGTTCAAGTTTAATGTTCGAAGAACTCCTATCGATAATTACCTATGCTATACAATTTTCCTCGATTATCGTTTCCATTCATTATCGATTTACCAACTTACCAGCGGAAGGAGGAATGATTGCACAATTTCAGATCGGCGTACTCGCTGTCATCCTGCTCGAAGGCAAAGAACCGAAACACGGGGGCAGTCACTGTATTGCACGGAAAATAATCACGCACCACGTACGTCGCGTGATCGACGGTTCACAGTTTCAATCGATCACTAGCAAACGTCCGAAGGAATTATCACTGCGTAACGACACCGGATATTTCAAAGCTCGGATCAGGTGCACGCGGCGAGATCACGAACGAGGAGCAGGTAGAGCCGCAGCCTTCGCTGCTCGAGCAACAGGTAGACACTGCGTGGAGGACTGTGGAGAGAGGCGAAGATGGGAATGGAACGAGTGGCACACTCGGATAGACGGATCCGAATGCCGACCACCGAGACTGGACGTTAAGCGACATTCACAACGCGTCGATGATTCATTAGCCCAAGGCCCGAGATAAAACTGTCCGGTGTGAGCAGCACGAACGATTGTTTCCACGTCGGTGATGGTTTTACAGACTGGGAAGTCGTATAATTTTAAAATGCAACGAGTTATTTTAGTTCAGATTCTCAGGTTCACGCATCGCTCAGATTCCTTGGAAAATGTAGACATTTAACAGAAGCCATCAAAGTTTTCATTCAGTCTGGGGTAGCGCTTCGCGCGAGGCATCGAAGTCTCCGGTATTTCGAAGACTTTAATTCCTCACGGAATACCAAATTTATTATACAAATTTTCTCGTTGACCCACCGCCACATATGCGATCTTCTATTTTCCATTTTATTTTTAAAGGACAAAACGAATTCTTATTTAGATTTCATTCTCTAAATTGACGTTACGAATGTTTCGTGCATCCGATAAAAATTCACGTTCCAACGACGATCGTTTTAATTAATAAGGATCTGTAGCAGGATTTAAGAAGAAGCTCGTCGAGAAATTGAAACCAGGCGAGAATTCTCGAATTCCTCAAGAACGTGGAAGGCATTTACGAAACCCGTGCCGAGGGGTGGTACGAGGGGAATGGAAGTTATCTATCCGGTCCCGGCGCGGCGACGCGAAGAGTAACGCAGCCTCTCCTCTTATCAGGCTTATTAATCATTCAACGAGCGTAACGTCGGTTGCACGAAATGGAAAGAAAACGTATCTCGCGCAATTGTACGTAACGAGAAGGTTAACAAATTGTACGACCGAGGATAAGGACGCCGTCTATCAGATCGGCTCTCGTGTTACGATTATCGCATAATCCGTCGCGGACTTACGTCTCTTTCAACAATTACGCAACTTACAGCTTTTTCACTCGGTGGAATAAACGCGTTCAAGATAAACTTCTATTCAGTTTCTCGTTCACATCGGAATCTAATTTGTTCGTCGTCGGAAACGAGGACGGATAATAATTGAGTTATTCGAAAAAAATATACCCAGTTTCTTATTTAACTCACGGACGCGTTTCGAATTGTACCAGCTCGTTCTTCCGCGAGGAACTCCGTCTGAATTTCCATTAAGATTCATCGGACCACCTTCGGTCTTCATTATACTATAATAGTAGACGCAAAGCGTAATAGTAGACTCGCTGTATGCTAAAGTAGAAGGCATACCATACAACACGCATTTCCATACGTTACGCGTTACACGGGACGCATCTCTAAACGCCGTAATAACAGATGTACCGTTGACAAAAGATCTCTATACGCGGGTCTCCGAATGACTCCCTCATTCTAATTACGCGAATTAAAAGAAAAATTGTCGAGCGAGACGATGCGATGTGGTACGGATCAATCGACGAGCTACCCAAATTGCACCCAAACCGAACAAAAATGAATTCCATCGGCACGACGTCCGATGAATCGAGAGCGGAGAGGAGCGGAGGCGATAAAAACACAGCTGGCTCCGGTTGTGAATGGACCCGTACTCGAGAATCGTTCGGTGGGGGTTCAATCATCGCAATGAATTACAACGAGCCAGTCACCGAGAGTGACTCACTGTACGCGCGCTGCTCTAGCCGTTGCAGCTCGATAAAACTCTTTTTCTCAGCCCCGGCTCGCGCACCGAGGAATTCGAGAGTGGCCGCGGGAACGGAAAGAGAGCTAACGCTAGGAGCAAACAGAAGCGGCTTATGAATCATACGAGCAAGGCGAAATGTAGGTACTCCGCGTATGGAGAAGGGACGAAGAAGAACAGAGGACTTTCGTTCACGGCGAATGCCGACTTAACGGGATTTCTAGTGCTCTTAATGGCTCGATGCATTCTCTGCTGTTAGGACGACTAATCAAACAGCCCGATTTTCAGAACGTTCCGTAGAAACGGACCTACGATACTTTTGCAGGATCCTCTAGAAATCCGAACTGTACTTTCCATCGTAAAATCTGATCACGTTCTTGAGACCTACGTTGAGATTCTCCAAATGTCTTAGAATCTGTCCGAAAAATTGGAAGTTGTAACTTGACCGTTGACCCACTTGTGAGGAAGGAATCGTGCGAACGGCTATGTATCAGGGCTAGTTATATCGCGACGCACCGATAGGAATTCGTATCGGACCACCGTGAAAAATATTTCACACGAGCCGAAGTTTTTTTTTTCCTTCTTCTTCTACGGTGGCTCTCTCGGGCCACGCATACCGTGCCAATTATTCTCCGCACGGAAGTTCCACGGCCTGGCGTGAGAGATTGATGCGAGAGTCGATGCACTTCGCGGTTATGTTTTATTCATACCTTTCACCGGGTCCGATAAGAAAATTATATTTAAAGGCCAACGCGGGAAAAGAGAAAATCCAATGCCGATAGGATAGGCGGACGCGTGTACTCCGCCCATCGTGAAAACTATTCATTTTTGTCTTGTTCGAACGCGCGGATTTGACGGTTTAAAAGGAAATTAAATGTATAGAAACGAACGATCGTACGTTGCAATTCTTAAATGATAAACGTTTCAATCTGCATAAAAATCTGCGATCCATTTATGTGTTACGCGATAATGTTTCAAGTTTACGTTTGGGAAATTGCATTTCACCGCCAGTATGCGGAACATGAGCATGTGTGTTACGCGTCAAATAATATTCTCATAATCAACGTGCGCTGCTCTCACGGTTGTTAATTAATAATTCTATCGACGCCTCGTTAAATATTCCAACTATTCAGACCTCCACGCCGGTTCAAAATGTCGACGGCTTTGCGGTAAAATTGTCCAACCCCGAACGAGAGTCAGATCCCGATTACGGCTAGGGTCGCGTGCAAACTTTCTCGCCGGGGAATGAAAATGATCTGGAGCGCGTATGTATGAGAACGCGAAATCCTGTGCAACGCGGAGTAATTACGCGCTCGCTACTTATTATCTTTAACGAAAGTCTGCGCTTCTACGAATCGGTCTCGAAACCACGTCCCATTAACCCATTGCGCGCCGGTTGGTCTTCTCGCTTTAAACGCGGTAAGCGTTTCAGCTTAGCGCGATCAAACATCTTTTATATTTTCTGTACATCAGATCGTTAAACTATTATTCACACTCTTAAGTAGGTCTGAGAGCATCTACTTATTCAAGCTGTATTTCAATCGAGGGCGAGTGTTTTTCGTAGAGCTTTGAACGCTAGCGATTTGAACGGAGGCGATTAATTCGTTTTTCATTGAAGCGTAACTGTTGTCCGAGTGATTGACGACACTTAACCACAACGTACCATTGTTACCATAACCAGTGCCCCGTTCCTCGTGAATCACTTCCACCTATTACAAAACGCTGACTCGATCGAGCCAACGGAACAACGTCGATCCCGTCACGCTAAAATCTTTCTGGAACAGTCACGATACTGCACGCTGCGATAAAAAACCACTGTCAAGGTCGGACTTGCATTGACAAAGGATTGAACGGAGACAGTGGTTTCGCGCTGCTTGAAATCCGATCGTACAATTAACCCATATGTGGATGATCGAGGTCATACGTGATCGACGTAACGATTCGTCCACGAATTATATAATATTCCAATGGCAGAAAATCGGATCGAATGATTAAAACGAATCGAGTGTAACAAGAAACTGGGACTGATATAGCGCTTAATGGTTACAATCGATCGATCAAATACGCTGTTCATATATAATACCTGATAATTTAACAATCTCGATTTCACGCGATACGCGATGAAAAATTTGCTGTTAAACGTTGTTATTCGCTTCCATAATAGTTTTCACACCGCGGCAAGCCAATAAAGTATCTCGCCCGCGACCAGCTTTACCGTTATTTGCCAGCATTATTTAGTGTGTAATTTCGCTAAGCGGAGGCGTGTGTTCTGCTGCACGCGTGAAAAAGCCCCGTGCGTGTGCCCGCCCGCTCTATATTTAACAACACGTCGGATACTTTCGACGCTGGAGTCTTCGGACCAGGCGAACCCTCGACGATCTCTCGCGCGTTTTCGGGAACCACGCGTGGTTCAACCCTCTACACGGCGTGTTCAATTTTTATTAGGAGACAAAAGATCTACGCGATTTAATGGCTCCATCTTTCACTTGACTCATCTATATATCTTCGTCATCCAACAAATGCACAAAGTCCGTAATTTCATTAGAAACATATTACGCAGCTGCGATGCAGACGACGTTATCTATCTTTGACGCGCAATTGGGGTAATTAAATTTTGATTAACCAGGAAACGCGGTAAGCGTTTTCACCTGATAAAGTGCCGCGACGGCTGCTGCTCGTTCCAAATGATCGAGCCGGTAACTTAAAAATCGGTCGATTCTTTTCCCGTTTCACGGTTGGCGCCAGCGCGAAGTAGGCCGCCGCGCCGGCAAACGGAATGCTCGTTTAATTCTCACCGCGTTCAATTTTTGCCACGATGGAAATCGTACAGGCCGGTCATCTGATAAACTTCAAATTACATATCTACTATCCTAAGTCTAATTTATTTCCTATGAAATTATCATGGCTCGTAGACTAATTTAGCTTAAATAGGAATAAGTCGATACAGGAAATTGATAGAGTAAACAAGCAACAGTGTGCGAGAGAGATTCGTTTTTTTTTTTCTATGTAGAAATTAACAGTTGCGAGCAGAAATAGATTTGTACAGGTTGATCGAGATCGATATAGATATAGCTGTTTAACTGGCAGGGAAACTTGCTACCGCGGTGAAAGAACTCGTATGGGAAGGAAAACTAGATCGGTCTTCTCGCTGGAGTTACAGAAATATCGGCGATTCTCGCGTCATCGAATTCGGTATCGTCCCGACGCAAATCATTCCTGGAAGTCTGAAACTGGTAGGAATGAATGGGCCGACGACAATCGATCAATTGTCATCGCCGAGAACCTGTTGGCCGAACCTGTCCCAGGTTCACGGGCATGTGAGCGCGCGTGTGTACACGGGGTCACGCGCGTTCACGGAACGGTCAGAAAACGGGCTGTGCGCCTTCGCCTCGTGCCGCGCGGCACAGATCGACGCGGAAAAATGCGCGCGGAATAATGCGTGCAGCAGGACGGCGCCAGTACTCCTCCCTTCTCGTCCCACCGACCCCTTCGACGACGCCAAGCGTCTCCCGGAGAAGACTCGATATCGAGGAGAAGGAGAGGCCGCGAAGGGGAATCATCACCGAAGGGAAGGGTCAAGCAACAACGCCGTGCTCGTGGAACACAGCTTTTTAAATCCACGGACAAATTTTGAAGCGTCGAATCGAAAGAAATGCGCGGCAAGAATTAGGCAGATACGAAGAAAATTGAGAAGTCAATGACTGGTACGATGAAAAAATGAGAAGCAAAGACGAGTCGGAGGAAGAAAAAGAAAGCAAGTTGTCTTGAACGTCTGCTCGACGGATCGTTTTTCTTCGAGCAACGCGGCGCGGCGCCTCGGCATTGGGACTGCTCCGTTCCAATCATTCTCCGCGGTGTTCGAGAGACTTGGAGAAAAAACGACGAACAGCAATCGACTGGTCTCGTCAAGATCGGGATCTGCTCCATCGAACGAATCGATGAGAAACGCCTCGAGTCCGTGACGAAAATATGACGAACCGTGCCGATTTTCATCATGATTTCGAGTTAAGGATGTATAGGCTTTATACTTAAACAATGCTAACATGTTGAATTTGTTATTATAGATTCCTATTACTATTAAACTACCTGCGAAATTTTAAATCAATTCGTAGGTTTTTTGAAAAATTATGGTTACTTAAGATTTACATGTACTCTTATGGTAATCAGAAGTAACCCAAAGAAAACTTTCTTGTATTTGGTGTGCATGTGCGAAGTTGGAAGAAACAATTGACTTGAGGAGATACAAGCCTAAAAAGTCTGGAATTCTTGACGATTTTTAGAATATATTTCGATATTTTTCAATATTTTGACAAAAAAAAATTTTTCAATTTTTCCGAGATTTTTCCAAGGGG